CTTCCAAAAAGTTGTGCAGCACAGGAACATCATCACCTGGATTCGCCCCTTCTGGCACATACACATCCAGAAACAGACAGTCTTCTCGACCCCAGGCCGTGCCGCTGATTTCAAGGTACGCAATATAACCCGGCACAGAGGCAATGCAAGCCGTGCTCGCCCAAGGCACTTTACCATCCTGGACATCATGTACTTTGGGGAGTTTGGTGTCTGGTGCCCGAAAGCGTAGGTTACCCGTTGGCGCGTTGGCGAAGCGAATGTTCTTGTAAATTTTGACTTTATGCCCAGAAATGGTTTTGCTATGGTATGTAGGAATATGCTGAGCGTATCCGAGGTCAACAAGGTCGTCCTTTGGGGTCTCATTTGCAGGTTCGGCAAATGCGCGTGCCAGGAGCGCAAGTACGAGCATACGGAAAAGGTTCAACACGGCCATGGTGTATATCTGACATAAAATGATCGAATTGTCGTCCTACTTTCCCTCTACTACGACCACATTAGCAACTTATTGTCTTTGAGAGTCCGCGAGCTGGAACAATCGCTTCTTACCCTAATCAGGCAAACGAGCAGTGCATTGTAAGGCGGATTGGAAATGCCCAAGCTATACTCACGACCGTTGTCAACAATTCTGGCCTCCATTACACGTCCACACCATCGAGGCAGTGCTATCCATGTAAGATGATTCGCAGCCTGCCGCAACCCGAGTCAAACGAGATGACCGAGGCGTTGATCACTCCTACCGCCACGAGCCGCATTGCTCGCCCGTTTACAGGAATCTCTATATTTGACACACAAGCATTGCGTCTACTGCATAGTCTTACAACCCGCCCGGCCGTCGATCATTAGCATATCTTCCAGCAATTGACCGATCGAAGAAGGAGTGGACGATTGATATCGTCGTCTTAATTCTGACAGCGCCATTGCCCAAAAAGGAAAACGAGGTCAACGCCACACAAAGTAATCACGCCGAGTGCATTACACATCTTTCGACTCAGCCTCGTTTATACTCGGCGACGCAACATTCATATCTAGAACTGTCACCACATATGAGAATTGGATGTGCTCGTTTGCCTGTTAGGGGCATTTTGTCGTCCTGCAATACAAAATTATCCTGACCGCTCAATGTACGTGCGGAACGAACCAAGGGCACACTGAACAGCCAGGACACACGCCAAGATACCATGACGCCATCCAGGGTGTCAAGTGAGCCGGATTTCAGAGTCATTTCCTTCCGACCCCAGCGCGGGGAAGAATTTGGATCCGCCAGGAAATATCAACGTCGAAAGACGCATCAGAAGTCGAAGACGGGGTGTTTGCATTGTAAATTGAAGCGAGTAAAGGTTGAACGCCCTCTAACACTAGTCCACACCATATTTGATATTCCCCCAAGACTAACGATGCTTTCAAAAGTGTGACGAAGCTCTTCCATCATGCTCCCGGTGCCGAAGACACAGTGTCTGGTGCAGCTACACCACCCAGGAGTCTGGGCCCGGCAGGTTGTGCAACCAGGATGAGGCAAACCTCAATTATTTCAGGTCCTGAACTAAGCCGCCTCGATTGTCTCGAATCATCACCCGCGATTCACGTCTTTGACCCAGAAATAGAGCAAACACGCGACGGGGCTCCGCGCAACGTCCTGATGAATCACTTCCAATATGTATTCCTGGAGCTGCAGGTGATAGGCACGAGAGAAATCTCCCCCATCCTGTCTCTTGGGTTATGCCGCCCATTTCTGATGGACTCCATCTTTGCTGTCTCGGCGTCCCATCTCCGCTTCACATCTGTATCCAATGCGTCGCATCGCGTGGCTGAACACTTTCAACAAGCACTAGCCATCAAGAATTTCCAGGGCGCACTGGCTTCGCCCCTAGACCAACAGACCGCTGATGCGCTGCTCTTAACGGCAATGTTTCTCAACCTGCTGTCCTTCTCAGCTGTAGAGGACGAGGATATTTGAGATTCGTGGGTATACAGTAACCATCCCGACAGGTTGGGGTGGCTATCACTCTCACTGGGTATAAAGCCTCTCATCTACGCGACAGAGACATACCGAGAGAATACGATCCTGAACTGGCTGTTTGACTCTTCTGATGATGGAGCTAAGTCTTTTCATGGTTCATGGGAGTTCATGCACTTGCGTGTTGTTCTCCTCATTGGTTGGACCTGGTTGGCTTGACGCGGGATTCCCAGCCTGACGCAAAGTTCTTTCACCCTATTAGGATCCTGAGTGAGACTAGAAAGCTGGAGCCAAACCCTAAGAATTTCTTTCTCTATGTGAATATGATTGGGTCCTTGGGCGTTGATTTCCGCACCGACCTGGAGAGGCGGCATGAGGTAGCGATGTGGCTCATGGGATATTGGTTGGGGCTGCTACTTCGCTATGACTTTTGGTGGCTTCGGAAGAGGGTGAGAAGAGACTTTCGTGCGGTCTGTTGGAAACTGATCGACAATGGCGTGAGGGACAGGCCGGGCGCGGAGGGTGCGATGTGGAGGAAGCTGATGGATGACTTGGAAAAAGCTCCTTGCTGGAAGAGTCCTGAACACGGTGGGCGAGTCTGCGGAGAAGTATAGATGGGGCAGGACGTGGTGAAGGTAGCATGACAATCTGAAGCGTGCGACCCAGGTGCAGTGTAGGATGCAACCATATTACCAAGGTACCGTCGACAAACGACAGTTCACATACTTGTGGTAAGATATATTATCTCCAGCTCGCAACAGCCAAAAAAAACCAAACCACTTTATTCTAGGAACGTATTGTCAAATGGCTATTGGGCGCCAAAACAAGACAGAACGACACTTAGAGACATCAATAGGCTTCAAGCTCTCGGCATATGCTCCGTAATGAGGGGAAGAAGACCGACAACAGCGCAGCTTGGTTCGTCCCGGTGTTGCCTGGCACATGTAATAAGTACGAGTCGCACGGAGAATATGATGTGTTGCAAAATCTATCAATGAGCAGAGCCGCTGTGGCGCTGAACCCTGGAAGTGGTATGCATGGGACAACCTACCCCCGTTGGTGGCGATCTGGGGGCCATGAAAACGAAAAGAAGAAACCTGATTCTTGCTGTTTCTGATCTTTTTACCGAGTGGAGTCGTTTCATTGCTTTTATTCGAAGCATTCACGATGCGTCGGATAGAACAGGGCAATCGTTTATATCCCAAAGAGTGCCATGCTCAGAGACCAGCGAGCAACCATGGCAAAGCTGCCCGAGATAGCTACACTCGGACGCTTGGACGAATTGCAATACCGTCAGCCGAGATGGGCACCAGCATACGCAAGTTTACGAACAGGCCAATATCAACATGGTCTTGCGGCAGCGCAGCGCAGGCCTGTTGCCGCGCCCGACGAAGGCCGTGTTTCTTGCAACCGCGCGGTTTCACTTCTTCATCTCCACGCTTACCTGGTTTTCACAGCGCCTTTTCTGCCGCCCTACACATCGGCTGGGAGGGTTCCTTTAAAACATGCAGCACGCCAATAGCGGGAGTCTCAGTCTGCGGATTTTGCAGGAAGGGCTATTGGGAAGGGGAAAAGGAGGGGGATGGTATCACGGCGAGTCTGCAAGCGCATCGTTGTCAAATGCTGTGCTTCCACGAGACGCGGGACCATGCAAATCGGGTGCGACTCGGCGATCTGCCAATTGGCTGCTTTCGTCGCAGTGTACTTTCTTTTTTGTAGTTCTCTACTGGGATCTGCGTCTGCTTTATTTTCTTTCCCCTACCCTAGTAAATATGTCGGGTTCGACGACGAGCCGGGGGGAAGGGATGGGAGGATTTGCTTGAGAATGTTCTGCCTTTTCGGATGCTTGCTCTCTCGCGCCCTGCCGATGAATCACCAGCGCCGGTCACTCAAGTGACAAAGATAGCCATTGATGAAATGGTAAGTGAATATTATTTTCTATGCTTCTCCGTGATAGAAACTTGTTATTCAGGGCAAAGAACGCTGCGGTCATGTGCGAGAGAAGGATTCTGACTGATTCCTTGACATTTCGCACAGCTGATGCTTTATAAAAGTCTTAGCAAAAGCCGACGCCTGACTGTATTTGGTACTATTTTTTTTTTTTTTTTTTTTTTTTTTTTTTTTTTTTTTTTTTTTTTTTTTTTTTTTTTTTTTTTTTTTTTTTTTTTTTTTTGGCTCTGTTTCTTTCTGTGCCGTTCTCTACCGCATCTGGGAGACTCGAAGCCTCAATATATATAAATATATACATTTCCCGGTCCTCGAGCTGGCTTGCGCGCGTCTACTAGCTTGGGAAACGACGCAGGCACAAAGTTAATCAGCCAAGTCGGAAGCAATTTTCCTCCCCCCTCACAGAGCCTGAAGGGAACCGTGTAACAGCACCATGTCCGGGCTCACTGTCTACGAAGTCCGCTTCGGAGTCGGCAACTGTCTGCACTACGGCGTCTTCGTGCAAACCGGCAACGATGGCGCGGGCATGCTCATGGACGTCCGAGGCTCCGTCAACGCCGGAGGCAAGCTCGTCTTCAATTCCCGCAGCGAAATGCTCGCGCGGTTCGACATGAAGACCCCCATGGGTGTCATCGACAAGTATGAGGTCTACACGCTGGAGAATGTCTGCCGCGGCGTCGATCCGCCTGACACGCAGTACGGCACTACCTCTTTGTCCGGGGGGTCCAGCCCTATTTGTCGCTGCAGCGAGTGGAACGACAGTGTCTGGGGCGCCATCTATTTGTCTGGCATCATGAAGGGACAGCACTTGGGTCTCGAGGGGTGAAACATGCATGGGGGCTGAAACGGGGGGGGGAACGTGTTCTGGTGGAAATAATTGAAGAAAGGATGAGGCATGAGTTTAAATGCTGATGAATTTCTCGAGTTTTACTTTGTTCCTCCTCTGTTCATGGTCTCGTATATCCTGTGATGTGGGCGATGGAAAACCTCGGTATGCTAAATTCTTACCCTGGGATCCGAAAAGGGTGTGCCTCTGTATTCAGCACGTACTCGTCTAGACTTATGACGTCGGGGGTCGAGAAGACGAGATAGAAGTACTTTAATGTCTCGGCCAGCCAGAAGCTCTGGAGGGGGGGATGCGTTTTTTTAGCTGCGTGACAGTCTGAAAAGCCCAATCAGTGCAAGACTCAAGACTCACCTCCATGTAGTCCATCTTGGGCAAGGGATAGCGCGCAACGGTGACATCCAACACGGCTGCGTTTGCATATTCGGTCCTCGTGCCATTGCTGATGGCGGTGAACATGTCCCAGGCCTTGTCTTGGAATGCCTCGTCGCCCGTGATTCTGTACATGTAAAAGACACTCTCGATGGCCTCGGGCCGCAGGATATATCGCGGGTCCTTGGCGGTGGTGAATCCCTCTGGGAGATGCGGCTTCCACTCGGGGCGCTTCTTCCTCTCGTGGTCCCAGAGGGCTTCCTGCCAGGGGCAGTGGGAACGGTGGTCGCAGGGCACCGTGTTGATGCGCTCGGGCATCATGCCCGTCGGGAACGAGCGGTACGCGTACACGCAGCCGTTGGTGAGCCTGATGCCGCTGTCCAGGTAGTCGGTGCGGTTGAGCAGCCTGCCCGCCAGCCCGAACATGCCGCCGACAAAGCATGCCAGATGTTCCGTCTCCGGGTCCAGGACGGGCTTGCCGTCGACCACGTTGACGTTGCCCGGCAGGAGGATGTCCTCGGCGGTGGGCGTCATGGGCCGGAAGACGAAGTGCCTGTCGGCCGCGTCGAGAAAGGCGCCGGCCATGGCCCGGTACTTGTCGTCGCCCCCTCGGAGGAGCTGGTGCATCTTGGGGAGGTACTCGAACAGAGAGTCCTCGCCGCCGCCGAGCGTGAAGGCGCCGCCGCTGACCACGTCCTCGTCCCTCATCGACACCCACATGGGCCACGCGCCGGGGAGTTCGGTCCTGTTCTGGCCCTGGCAAAACAGGTCCATGACCCGGGACGCGGCGCCGTAGTACTTTGCGTCCCCCGTGATCTGGGAGAGCCGCGTCATCTCCAGGGACAGGGTGCCGGGCGAGGCGGACACGACCCGCGGCTCGGGTTGCAGGGCCTCGCCGGCCTTGGCCGCCGCAAAGTCGATGAAGTCGACGGGCATTCCGTTGGGCGTGTTGAAGGCCGCGTAGATCAAGTCTCCCAGCTCGACCGCCTTTTGCAACAGCGCTTCCCTCCCGCTCAGGTCGTACGCGGCCATCAGGCCCCCCAGGTACCGGATGTTGGTCTCAAACGTGTTGACCCTCGGGCTGGTCGACACGCCAAAGTCGATCTGGCAAGCCGCCTCGACGGCCTCGTCGAATTCGTCTCGCAGGCCCATGATCCACAGCGTGTCCAGCGAGTCGACCAAGGTGGCCGCCCATCCGGAGAACTGCTCCCTCGATCCGCCGCTTACCGGCAGCAGCGCATCCTGCATCCACGCAAGCTCCCGGTAGCTCTTCCAGTTTTCCCGAAACAGCCCACGCACCTCCATCAGCCGGGCTACGCGGACTTCCGCGCCCTCCGGGTCCTCGGGCGCAAACTGATGCTGTATCTTCTGTGCGCTGGGCCGGGGCGAGCGCAGAGGTGTCGGGAGAGACACTTGGCTGGTCAATTGGTGGCTGAAGCCGACCCTGCTCCAGTCAAAGCTGCTTGGGACATGCCGGATGCGTCTCTTTGGGGCGGCGTCGTTCATCCAGTGCTTCAGTCTGCCCATGTGCGTCGGCGGCTCGGGATACACCACGTAGCGCAGCTGCCAGAAGGCGAATATGACGAGCACCGCGACGGCAATGTCTCTGCGCTGGGCGGCAGTGACAAACATGGCTTGTTTTTTTTGGGGCGAATCGGGTGAAGACAACGAAAAGGCGACTGAAAGAGATCACGGAGAGTGAAGATGGTTGCGCATCTCGTCGATGGGACTCGTTGATGGGAAACGGCGATACAATAGTAGCCTCACAGTTGCTTTGAATGACTAGTGACGAAACGCAAAAGGCGAGTCAAAGCACCAGTGACGCCTCCCCTGCATGAAGAGGCATGCCAGCTCCTGGGCTGCAAATCGGGTTCGTAGTAATACCCCCTTGATTTGCCAAGAGGAGCGAAAAGCGGGAGGATCTTGTTCCATGCCTGTCGCAGAAAGTCAATCACTTGGGGGGTCTAGACTCTAGAGCAGGTCAAGGTTGACTGGACTATACTCACTTGGGCTATGGCCATGAGCTAGAGAATAAAAGCGGTCATTGATTCATTGGGCACGTGTCTAATGCGCTGTGCAAGTTGAGGTCGAGTCTGCTGGTTCCATCTTTACAAAATAGGAAAGAAGAAAGAAGAAAGGAAGGAACAGGGGAGAAACGCCATTTACCGGGGATGTGGAGATCTTCAGTGGTTCGCGCAACGTTTCCCCCAAGACTCAACAAGACGGCAAGACTCGGAGCTAATCTCCGTGTTGAAGCACATGTCGAAACAGTGAGTTGCATGCAGTGTTGTGCGCGTGCCTTTTTTTCTGTTGATGGAAAAAACTTTGCGCAACGCTGGGTTTGCTTTCGCATTGTTTGGCAACTGAACAGTGTTGGTTGCTGAAACGGACACGTCAAGAACCAACTTGAACCAACTAGTTCACTGCCAGTGCTCGGCAGAGTCGGCAGAGTCAACATACATTGTTGCAATGAAAATACCATCAGGTGAGCTTCTCAAAGCTGCCATGCATATACATGTGTCAACAAGACTTGGGCCTCGCTCAATCACAGCACGCGTACTTGCCACACAACTACAGAACTCATCAAGTTCCCAAAGTTCAAGGCATCTTGTTTACCATGGGCATCCCTTTTCCAGCACATCAGGAGAGGACATGTGGTTATTTCTCGTGGGCATCACCGCTTGGGTCCTCCAGCAACGTATGCTCCTCCTTCACAGCGTGTTCAGCCAGCGACCCCCTTCACCCTGCTTCTCGTGGCAACTATCGGTGGATCCAGCGCTGCCGGCATGCCTCGCAGGTCTTCGAAGCGATCCTGAACAGATGGCCGGCACCGCGTTTCAATCTCGGGCGTCGAGGTATATAAGTCTCGTCATGTCTGCCCTCTACAGGAGTTGGTCGGCAAGGCCTCGCACCGCACTTCACAGGACGAAACTGCACCCGACGACATTTGCGTCCCCTCGCCAGATATGTCATATCGGTTTGGTACCAACGGTACGCAAAACACCAACAGCATGGACACCGGCGTCAATCAAGTCGGGTTGGACGACGAAAGTACCGGCTTCATTCCCATCATGTTGGACGACAAAAGTACCGGCTTCATTCCCATCGGGTTGGAACAAGGACAAGCACGACATCCTAGACTTCCCCCACAGCCCGGTCCCCCTCCGGCCCGGCCACTCCCTCCTGCTCCAACCTCACGGACAAGGAGGACGCCGAAGAATGCTCAAAATCCGGCCTCACAGGCACAGACGATTCCAGGGGTTGCCGAGGGTCCGGTCACGGACGTTTTAACAACCGGGTTCTACCAAGTGATGGGAGATATAAGTACCTGGACTGAGATATATCATTTTGCGGGACAAAAGGGAATTGACGGCACTACGGGAGAGTACTACACCACACTGGTCGCAGCTTTGGAGGACGCCCTGGAGTCGGAAAACCTGAGCGAGGAACAGGAGAATGAGGTGTTTGACTATCTGGGTTGGCCATTCTTCTGCGAGACTTGCAAGAAAGTCAAACACGCCTGTGAATTCAGTTCATGTTGTAGAGAATTTTGGGACGAAAAACTTGGAGGGCTTGTTTTCCTACACGGTGAATGCGGGCCTTGCGAGGACAAACGGTTGAGAGCTGCGCTAGAGTCTCGCGCCAATACACGAAGCCGCGCTCGACCGACCCGTCGCAGGGCATAACGCTCTGCCCTCGAAACGCTTGCCAACTTGCCGTCTTGCTCGGCAACCATGTCAGCAATTCGCTTTGCTCAAGGGGCTTTTCTTCCTGCCTTGCCGACTCTTTCGCAAGGCACCTCTGCATTCGACTGGGGTTGTTGGGGGCCGCAAGGGGGGCCACGATGTGCCGGGACCAAAAAGACTGGGAGACAAATTGCCGGGACGGGTAATTCATTTAGATGGCGATGAGAGCTGGGAGACATATTGTCGGGACGGGGCTTAATTGCCAGTCGTGTCTGCCGAGTAACCCAAGAAGCAAGGAGAGAAATAGAACGCTCGGCAGATTTCGCTACAGGATTTGTGTGTGGGAAGGCAAGGGCTAGTTTGATACGAGATGAATAGAGCAGCTTGAAGTTGATGCTTGGCCCCGAAACTCTGGTGATGAATCGGCCTGTGTATAGTAGAGGCCTTGTCGGCCGACAATTGACGTGATGTATGTAGACGCGCTGCCAGCGCGAGCCGTCAGCCAGGACGGATCATCAGTGTAACACGTTTCCCACTCTCAGCGACGGCCGGGCAGAATGGGGGCTGAGCTTCTGCACATGTCTGCGGCCACGGCTGTTTCGCCAGACAAGATGCTTGGTTCATCGTGCGGTAATCTGTGCAGAATAGTCTGGTCTATTATCCGGGCGTATAACTAGGCGTTGAGCTGTGGTGCTGCGTCACACGGGCTGGTAGGCCACCCCGAATGTGTGACACGAGATGTGAGCAATCAAGCCACTTGAAGGCCGAGTTTCTTGTCAAACTAGCTGCGCGAATTTTGAGCCAATTGGTACATTAGCTAGCCATACGAGGCTCAGTTCCGAGTTCTCCAACTAACAGCATAGCTGCTCGGTCTCGCAACTGGCGAGGCCTGAGCCGTCGATATTTCAAATCAACGGCCTGGCGTACTTGGTAGTAAAGCGCCCTCTCATACACCGGGTTAGACGGCAGAGTTTCTCCGATGGCGCGGCCTGTTGGTGACTGTCGTCGTGGATTCTCCGGCGGCCACGTCTAGACAGCACGGGAACGGCTTCCGTGGCCATGTGTCGTCGCGACAAACGAGGACGTCGGAAGTCGAGTCCTGCACAAGCATAGCCCGGGTGAGGGCCTAGTTCGGATCCCCATGAAAAACCCAGCCATGGGCGGGTTCCAACGAGGCTTAGGGCGGTGGCTTTACATCCGGTTGACTCACAACGGGGCATTTTGACTCGACGCTTCTCCATACATCCCCAAGGCAGCGTCCTGGACATGCATACATGTTGTGAACCCTTGTGTCTGTGCGTCTCCCCGGACCGTGGAGGGTGTTAATGACGACGAGTAGGGCCACGAACGAGAACGCACGTTGGTTGTTCAATGTTGACTAGCGGCAGATTCGTTATGCTGACCACGATGACTGCGTCGTTATTTTTCTCCCTTTGGATGCAAGGCGTGTTGGGTCTTGTCCAAATTCCAAAGTCAATTAGGTTAGCGGCTCAGTCAGATGAGCGGCGTTTGGCCCGTCGGGTTGCTTTCGTGTTCGAGGCTGCTGCCGATGAAAAGACGTTATAATAAGCATGGCTGTTTACCAACAGACCGAGGATTTCCCTCCCAAGGCCACTCTGTTCTTCACAATTTCGGCTTCTAGCTGTTCTCAGAAGCTCTCTCCTGCCTCTCCAAGACCTTGGTTCGTACAGCCGTCGCCTCGCACAACGGGTACTCATACCGACGCCGCTGAATACACACACGCGCGCGGGCGTTACAACGGACACTTGTGCGACGCGAGACCAAGACCAAGTGAGGCGGCTTGCATGCCCCAAGGTCCAAGCCGAGCGGCAAGGCAGCCATGAACAACCCGCTAGGCACGCCGGCACATGCCATGCTGCCCGTCAACGTCAAGTCGAAGCGGCGGGCCGTTGGCAAGGCTCGGGACGAAGCCACCTGCAAGAACAACAAGACCGATGCACAGCAACCCGGCACAACGACAACCGCCGAGCAGAATCATAAGAGGCTCTACAACTCCCCTGCCTCGCTGCTCTCGTCTCCCCCTCCCACAACCGCCGGCGACGACCGGGACAAGAGCCTCCGCCCAAACATGCACTTACACCTCGACCCTGCATCTGCCGGCGTGACGGGAGAACCATCCAGCCCGTCCAGCAGGCGCCACTCGCTGGCCGTCTCGACAGCCGGTCACTCATCGCGGTCGTCGGCAGACGGCGCCCCCGGCCCGTTTGCCTCGTGGCGACGAGTGTCAACGTCCGTCCCGGCCGGCGCCGAGTCGGCCCCGCTGACGGCCGCCGACGCCGTCGTCGGTCTCATCGCCGCGTCGTGCCAGGCGCAGCGCGACCTGGAAGAGCTGAAGGCGTCGCCGGCGGGGGCCCCCGCGCCGCTGAGAAGGCTCCTCGGCGAGGTCAAGTCGTTCAAGGCGACGGCGCAGCTGCTGCACAAGTCCCTGAGGAGAGTCGAAACCGGGGCCCTGGCTCACGGGGACCGCCCGGGGCTAGTGGAGCTGGACGTGCTCATTGCCGTGCTGGCCGCCTCGGTCCTGACCGTGTCCGAGCTCGAGGGCCGGCTGGAGGGCTTGGCGATGCGGGCCGCGGAGCTGGGCGTCGCCGTCGAGGACATGGTGCAGCGGTATTCGCGGAGCCTGGCCAGGGACGCCAACAGAATCGCCATGGTGGACTTTGTCATCACCCAGCTCCTGAACGTGCTTCAGGTGTAAGTCCATGATGGCCCCCCTTTCCCCCCCCAGTATCAGGGCAGCGCGATGCTAACCCCCCGCGGGCAATCAGGAGCAGCCACCAGGATGCCGCTCGCCACCGGGCCCAGGCCGGCCTCGCCGTCATGGACATGCTCCAGGCGGACGCCGCGCTGGCCGGCCGCATGCAGCAGCTCCAAGACGCGGCAAACGGCCTCGAGCTCGTTTCCCGGGAGCGCCGTGCGGAGCTCGCCTCCCGACCGCCGCCGAGCTACAGCGTCCCTTCGCCGGGGGGCGACGACGAGCCGCCCAGCTACTACCGGGCTCTCGATGACGGCTCGGTCGCCATCCAGCCCCGAGACTGGTCCGTCTACGCGGGCTTGAGCCTCGGGGACATACCTGCCCTGTCCAGCATCAGCCTTCCTCTGATTCTGGGCGAAATCAAAGACGCCTATTACTACACGGAAGAGTATGCGCGGTCCGTCAGAGACGGGCTCATCGCGTTGGAAGAAGCTCGCCACACCCACAAGTCAAAGGCCCTGGCCCGGGTTCTGGGCATCGAGGAAGGCGGCAGCAAGGAGAAGAACAGCGCTGCTTCAGATCATGGCGGTCTGGCGCATAGACTTGCGCTCAAGGTGGCAAGGGGAAAATTGCCAAGTCGATCACACTAGAAAAATGGAGGGTTTCCCTTTTGTTTCTTGTGTCCTTCTTTGTTTTCCAAGATTGGAACCTGTCACGAGATACCAGTTTGTTTCTTCTTAGCATAGCATTTCGGATATAGAGGCTCACCATGTATTAGCGTTTTATTTCAGTGTTTGAGGAAAATACACGTCAGCTGCCTTTCTTCTGGTACCTGTTTTTTTTTTTTTTTTTTTTTTTTTTTTTTTTTTTTTTTTTTTTTTTTTTTTTTTTTTTTTTTTTTTTTTTTTTTTTTTTTTTTTTTTTTTCCTTGTCATTTGAATTTCATTTGCCGGGGTCCATCTTCAAAAATACACTTTACTTCATTACATCATTGTGGGACAAGATTAAAAATGTGACAAGTAATTTTAATTGTAGCCCATGAATGCAGTCTTGTCACTATTCTATTTCATTCTTATTCTGTCTCCAAGCGTGACCCGCCGCAAGTTCATTCAATCTTCAGCTCCTTCGGCTGATGATGCAACAAGTGCAATGTCCAGTATAAAACGCAACGCCAAATAACGGCCATGCTTATCCGCAGCCAAATATATACAGCACGACATTAGATCATCAATATGCCACCCATGCGACAAAATCCCAAGCACCAATTCGAGGCAAGCCTTCTCGGCCCCTCATCCTCAAAGAATCGACCAGTCCAATCGCTTCGTAATATGTTTGCGCGAGTAGAGACTCAGCCTTAGACCAGCACCACAGTATTCGGTGCTGTTACCAGGACACAAGAAGCTGCACTCCTCACCTGTAACATTCTTTCCAGGGCTACCGTTACCGTCACCGCCTAGATTCAGTTTGTCGCCGCACCAACACTCTTGGCCGTATTCTACACCGGCATATTTGTACTTATTGCACTTGCCAAGACACATCCCGATCGTCATATTCTCAGCGTTGAGAACTTGGCTCTTGAGAAGCCGGCCGCGAGATGGTTCTGAAACGCAGGCGTAGTAAGTGAAATTTGCATTGCCTTCAGAGATTACCGGGCCAGTAGGAGTGGGCGTAGCCGAAGTCCTGGATGATTCGGTGGACGGTGACACAATTGGTGTACTATCGAGGCTTGTAGTTGACGGCGACGACATAAATGCACCAACACTAGTAGAGCTGCCAAGACTGGAGGTAGTTTCAGCTAGTTTCGTTGTGGTTATTGTCATTGTAGGGACTGACACGACGGGAGTTTGCTTTTCGGTTCCAGAACCCCGGGTGAGCGGGTTAGATGCAGAAGTAGAAGTAGGCAAAGAGCTAGAAGACGCGCCATATTTATATAGCTCGAGTCTTACACCCGCACCACAATACTCCGTCTTGTCACCAGGGCAGAGGGAATTACAGTCATCCTGGTTGTCAGCCTTGACACTGCCAGCTTCGAGCTCGTTGCCACAGTAGCACTCTCGGCCATATTCCACCCCAAAGTAGGTCAGGCCATGACAGAACTTGGCGCAAGACTCGAGTGTCATGTTGTCGTCTGCATGCGTGCGGCTGGTGAGCGCACGCCCGTTCGTTGCTTCCGTCCAGCAACCCTGGAAATTCCAATTGCCGACCTTGGCCTTCTTGACGGGGCCTGTTGGGGTAGGTGTGGACGAAGTGCTGGTGGCTGTTGAAGTTTCTATAATGCTTGTAACGGTTGAAGCCGACGAGGTGGCAACTGTGCCGTTTGCGGCAAGAGTAGTCGTGTTTGAAGCTGACACTGGTACAGAAGTCGTGGTCTTGAGGGTAACCAAAGCCGGCGCGGATGTTGTACTTGCGGTATTTCCTGCGTCGAGTTTGTATACATTAAGCCGAGACGGGCCACCACAGTACTCTGTCGAGTTATCTATTGGATATCAGCCAACAATCTACAAACATTCTGTCGTTTACCTTACCATTGCAAGTCATGCTGCAGTCTTTGCCAGGAGCGGGAACGGCGCCAGCGGTAAATTCATTGCCGCACCAACACTGTGGCAACGCGTTAGTCAAATATTGGCTGCTTCAGTGAAAGAATCCTCAGCTCACCTCGCCACCATATTCCACACCCGCATATATGTAATTACCAGCCTTGCAACCCTCAACACAACTCCTCACCGTCTTCTTATCAGTGCCCACGCCGTTCGTCAGCGCGCGGCCGTCTGTTGCTTCAGTGTAACAGCCAATGCTCGTGTACCCCGAAACACCAGGATTGACAACAGGTTCGGCTGGAGAGGGAGGTTGTGTGGTGTTGCCATCCCACTTGAGCGCATCGCCAAACGTTGACATGTAAGCGCCATCATTGGTGTTTCCGTTTCCGCCACAAATCTGCCTCAGGGCTCCCATGCAGTAGTAATTACAATTGGAGTCGTCCACTTTTTGGAGCGGAATGGTATTGCCTGCCCAGCATTCACGATGATACTGTGTAGCACAAAATGTGTATCCCTTTTCATTGCACGCCTTTATACAGTCTGCATTGGTCATTGTGTCGGAGGCTAGGATCTGATGGGGCAGCTGGCGGTCAGGAGTATTGTCCCTGTAGCATCCAACATATTTGAACTGACCCAGCCCATTCGGTAGAAGCGGCGGTGCTTGTTCGGCGACGGCATTGCAGAAGAATTGAATAAACTGCTTTCCAAGTGTGGCATCGTTGGTGTTCATAGTCCACTGGGCGGTGCCATTGTATGGAGCCGTATTCCATTGCGCGTAGGGTACATTGCAAATCAGCGTGGCGTTCGCGCTCTCTCCTGCCCCGAGGGATGTGCCTTCAGCAAGGTCTATCTGGTTCAAGGCTCTGATGAGCCCAGCAACACCAAAAGGGGGCTTTGACACAGTCAACGACAAAGGAGCCGCACCCCTTGCTGCGCTGTTGGTGACCCGAAACTTGAGGGACCTAGAATTATTTTCAGTTATATTGCCGAATGTGAAAGGTGTGCCAGGTTTGTATTTGACCCATCCAGTTGCGTCCGGTGTTTGGAACTCAAGCAGCGCCTTTGGTGGAGGGCCTGATGACGCAGCCACCGAGACTGTTCGGTTGCCTCCATCCGAAACAAACTTGACGTAGCAGGAATAGGTGCCGCTCTCGGATGTATCAAATTGGATGTTCACAGTTGCTGCTGAGTTTGGTGCAATGGTAGGTGGTAGTTTCTGAAACCTGAATTTACCAACAACCAAATCTTTCTGGCCGTTCCAAGCTTGGAATGGACCGTCAGAGCTGGTAGTGGAATACAGAACGGATTGGACAGTCAGCATCTCATTACCCAAGTTCGAGGCGATGATGCTTTCCGAGAGCCCATTGGGATCCTCGCCCGTGACAGCCTTCTTGAATGTGAGAATCACAGGAGTGACGTCCAGGAGAGCGCCGGCGCTCTGGCCTGTGCCAGTCAGCCGGGCATGGGTCCCGGTGCTGAATCCGCCGACCGAGTTGGTGGTATTTACGACAACGTCGTTGGATTGCAGGCCAACATTCGAAGGAGAAAATCTAGCGTTGACGGTAAAAGTCTGATCAACAGCCAGCTCCAAGGGCAGATTGGGCAGTCCAGAAAGGCTGAATTCCTTGTTTTTGGCATCGTTGAGCTCAATTCCCGTCACCGTAACGCCAACCAGGGCCTTGCAGGTAACCGGCTTGGCAATACTGCTGTTCTTCATGTCGACGCCGCCAAAATCCACAGGCGACGTGCAGTTGAGAGGCACCTTGACAGGGGAGCCAAAGCCGTAGACGTAACCTTGGGTCGTTCCAACGTACACAATACCATTGCCAAATACGGGTCGAGTAAACTTGGTGACCCCGGGAATATTGAAGGATTGAATCAGGTTCATGGTTTGACCCTGAGGCACAGCATCATAAACTCGAAGGTTGAGGCCCTGCACATCCGTGATCCAGAGAAGACCTGTGCCGGGCTGACCATTGAGCGACGTGGTTGTGCCGTGGCTGACTCCGAGAATGTACGCGTTGTTGGTGGGAGTTTCGGCGACCTTGGAGAAGGAAGGGCTTCCATTATTGCAGGAGAACTTGAAGACGATGGAGGGGTGTTGGATGACATTGATGTAAATATATCCGCCCTCCAGAGGATAGACACCGGCACCGGCGTACACCGAGTTCAGGTTTTCGTAAACCTGAATAACGTCGTCGAGACCATCTTTGCCGTTCTTGTAACCACCGAGGTTGTCTAGGTTGAGAAAGTACGTCTTGCCGCTTTTTCCTGTTACGACTCCAATTCGCTTAATGGCGCCGCAGGAAAACTCGCTTGGCAACATCTCCAATGGACTCGTGCCCAGATCCTTGTCTCCTGCATCCAGAGATCGCTTCTCGTAAGGCATCATGAAGTCCACCAGCCGAAGAGTGCCATCCGCATTCATCGTCATGTGCAGTGCAGCCTCTTCCAATGACGTCGGGGGGTTAAAGCCATTGACGGGCACATCAGCAAGCTGGGAGGCATACCCGTTTCCTGTCGCAAGAAAGATGGAGCCCTTGTCATCGGAGGCGATGCCGCCGCCAGACATCCAAATGCCACCGCCCCTGATGGTATTGGGAACGCCTTCGCCTTCGGTTGCCCACTTCTCTACAATTTTTCCCGTCGTCTTGTGCCAGCCAATAATCCAGCCAGTAAAGTTGTACTGTACGCAGTGGGAGGCAAAACCAGCGTAAATGAAATCGCCAGTATGCAAAAGACCTGGGCGTTGGTGATGGATACCGCCTTGAAACATGCGCTCGGGGGTATTCCTGGCAATGATACCTTCGAGATCGACGGGGAAATTTGGGCGCTCGGAAAGATCGTTCACGTCAAGAGCATGAACGTAATATCGACCCGCAGGCCTGCCCTGGGCCTTTTCACCACCATTCTGATCGACATAGGTCTTGGCCGTCAAGTAGAGGGTATCCGTGGCAGGATCAATAACACCGGTTGCGGTAATGCCAATGGTTGGATTGATATCGACGCAGCCATCGAGGTCCGCAGTAAGAAACGGAATATGAAGGTTGCGCGACGCAACAATTTGTCCGGTTTTAGCATCGAGCTTATAAACATTGTTCTGGGTTGTGGCAAAGTACACAAATTGCATGTCACCACCGCTTGGGGTATAGACAAGAGGCTGCGAGAAGATTTGCTCCGGTTGACCAACCCACACACCAGGCAGTTTTGTTCTGAAGAGTTGACCAAATTGACTGCTGCCAACTATGGACGGGTCCATGTTATGGTTTCTGCACATCCACGTTGGTCAGTTATCCCGTTTCTGCCGTATTGGGCATTGTTTACCACGAATGGCGCAAAGGCATCGTCAACTCACGTTTGATAGCCAGCTCTAGAGTTGTCACCCCCCCAGGTGATCGTGTCCGTATCACCGAGGCCATTAGCCAGGCCAAAAAAGGCCGTGGCCATAGCCAGCAGCGCACGAGAAGCCATCATGGTGGCGACGCAAAACACAACGGCCAAGCAGCAAACTCGTGGTGCCAGCAAGAAGTGCCAAAGGTTCGAGGAGAGGGGACTGCACAAATACGAGCAAGACTCGGCACAACAAGGCTACGGCCCAACCCATCTCGAGCGCAACACTCATGTTAATATGACCAGTGAGCCTGCAGATGTCGGGAAGGGTGGACCGTTGCCGAAAGCCCGAACTTTGTTGACTATTCTGGAAGTCCATGTAGTAATACAAACGGCGCTAAAGGCAGGTTCGACATGGCTCCCTTGACCATGGTGTTGGTTTGCCTGCTTATTTTGCCTTTGGGGTGGACCTTGACCGAGTCTCGGAGCCTTTTTCGAGTCGAGATGACACTGGGCCGTCCAGCAATTGAGCGTTTGGCGAGGAGCAAATGCATCTGCGCATCGGTTACAACCGTCTGAGACATACGTGCCATGAGCAGACGCGAGCGGCGGATGTGGGAAGTGGAACGCCGTGATATCCGTGCCATGGTTACAACAAACTACAGAAGCGAGAAAAAGACAGACTCCAACACACCCCTGGCTAATAAGCAACTTGACTTCTTCCCCTGGTAACAGTCTGTGCCTGGGCGGTGGCGCACACGTGCAAATCAAGCCAAGCTGCGCCAGCGATTCGGCGGTGGAGCAGGTCAATTCTGCCGTTCATTGCAACTGGAACTTTTGCAGCCATTATAGTATCCAGTACCTTGGCTCGGTTAGTGTCTGGTGCTCTGATGACCATGCAAGCCGATATCATGCCATGGTAAGAAGCACTGGGACGGTAAAGGAGTCAAGGACGTCAAGGACATCCCCGAGACAGCCTACAATAAGGGCTGTGTATGTATTCACGGTCAGCTCTGGAGGAGACAGGTTACACGGGACGACCTCATGGGTAGTTCGTACCATCAGCACCAGCACGGGTGCCCCCGGACTGTTTAGTCCCATTTCAAATACTTGGGGGTTCTTAAGCTTGGCTGTTGCACCCACTTCGTTTCCATAGCCCTCCTCATTACTCCGTGTTCCCATGTCCTTCCTCGTCCTTCCTCCCGGCTCCTGGGATGACTTGTGCAACCGAAAAGATTGAATCGACACTCGTACATACGACCTGTGCATACACACATGCAACACACACTTGGGCATATGCGCATCAGTAAATCTGTAGCCCCCAGTGAGCAGGGTCTAGCTTGCTCGAAAAAAGGAGAAGAAAAAGCAACGTCCAACGAGGACTAGCCAACGAACCGCTAATCGGGTACTCCGTGGTCGGTGCGCGGTCATGCCCTCTTCTGCTTCATTCTTGGTTTGTCTTGAATCCAAATTCCCCGCAAATCTCTGCAGCTGCCAAGCTGTGCTTTCTCGTATTGCTGGCATCTTCATCCATACAGCCCTGCGGGCGGGAGTGGCTCTGTTGGACCTGCAAGCCAAAACGCCAGAGGACGGTTGGCGACCTGCTGGCAACTGGGGCTCCGAGCCTGATTTGTTACCATCGATTTTGCCATGTTGCATATTTTCTAGGTCGTTCACCTCTCGCCTCGCCAAGGATTCGAACTAATGAGCAATCTAGGCGGACCAGATCAGTGTGCCGTATTGACATCGAGACTGCGAGGCATTTCCGAAAAAGAAAAAGAAAAAGAAAAAGAAAAAACTGGCCATACTTGACTACCAGGGTGCAGGATACTCGCCATCTAGGTGGCAAGTCCGTCATCGAGGTTCCGATTCCTCACAGGGGCAAAAACGACAACTCTCTATTTCCGGTACGGCAGGCGCGGCAGAACATGGTCTGCGATGCGGCCTTGCAGAGACGTCGGGTACCGTAGGCGGTTGTGTCACCGATTGATCTCTGTTTGTGTTTCCCAAAAAACCGCAAAGAGTCAGCTTCTCTGACGCTCAGCTCAGCAAGGGGACCTAGCTTCAGGTAGTCACAGCAAGGCTCAAGCCCTTGATATGCCGTGCGACTTGGTCGTCGACTTGTGTCCACATCCTGTTCGGTTCGAGATGTCGCAAGAAGCAATCAAAACAAAATTCATGTCGCCCGCCGCCACAACCCGGACCGAGTTACCAACTCTCAAAACGAATGCCGATGTGCTACCAGCTGAAGTTTTTCTACGTTGTCCAGGGATAGGCCGTTCCTCTGCCAGCACCATGCGTGCCGTAGATTATGCAGGCACATTGCATAGACTGCGTTTTCAGTGTTGCGCCCGAACGAATACCCTACATAGAAAATTGATCAAGCTTGCCGGTAAAGTTGACATCCAGCGGCTGGCTTCCGTACAACACCATGATTTGATGTACAATGTGCAATATCCTACCTAGTGTGCACAGGAAGACACCAGCCGTGCACCAATATAGCGTCTCTTGATTCAGCCAGACTAGACATTGCTCCCTAGCCGTCACACTGCATTGAAGTACATGTAACATCAGAGAACTATAGTGTCTCGGGGCTACAAAATATTGAATATTCATGTCTTTTTATAAACTGTACATCTGCTCGGATGACGTGCTTCCCGTCAAGCGACACACTATTGCCAGGTTTCCCGGGGGTGGTCGCAACAGCACCCACCCTATACCGTGGCGTCGGTGATATTGCAGTGGCAGCTACAATACACGTCCACATTATCCCCTGCAAAGAGCCTCGTTTAAAGGCATCTTCTTCTTCTTGTTCTCGATAAAGTGTGACAAGGCGGAAACCTTTTGGGAATCGAGCCCATCAACGGGAGAGGGTCTGCGCGGGCTCCAAGTCAGCAAGACGAGCATTCACACCTGACAATATGACAATATCTGCAGGGGAGACGACACGTTATGTCAAACTACCCAGCTAAACAAGGTGCGTTTTTCGCCCTGAGCTGTCGAGTGCGTGCCCGGCGACGGACGTGTGCGGATTCGTAGAGACCGGAAGCGCGTGGCCAAAGATGGCAGAGTTATGCGTCACTGCGTCCTACATGGCCCAGATACCACTTGGCTCTTATCTATGGCGGTGTGAATGCCTATTGCATCGGGACCAAAGTCGACTTTCCATGCATGCGTCTTCTACTTTGAGATAACTGCACATTCACACATTCAAACGCCCAGACTCTGCGCTGACTGGTACTATTAGCTCTCGAAAAGGGAAAGGGAAGTGTTGTTTTTTTTAAAAAAAAGAAAAGGAAAGAGGAAAACATATGATTCAACAGCTGATTGATCAGTGTAGCCCAATCATATTGGTTGTAGACATAACGAGATTTGCGCATCTATTACGCAATCTGTCATCCTGTCCGCCTCAGGCCGTGGAACAAATTTCCAGGAGCAGCATTGACGTCCAACAGGGAACAAGGCCCCCAGTACGGAGTAGTTCAGGTGTCTAGACGTATATTGGGGTATAAAAGGATGGGTGCATCGGGGCATTTCACAACCCTGGGTTCCTGCAGGAATCCCTGTACTGCAATCAAGCAAGACAATTTATGCGTAAAATAATTGCATTGATATAAAAAGGAGTCATAGTCTCGTCATCATGATAATGCATAGCAATACCTCCTTGATACCAGGCGTCATGCTAACCGAAGTGAGTCTTGGGTCTTTCCAAAAGCTGTCCGTCGAGCAGGATGTCAACCTTTTCATTATAGAAGCACAGCAGTCCTGCAATCCCGGCGCTTTCATGAGTAGGCAGCCTGTAATACCACACCAAGTCGTGGTGCTGTTTCCCGTCCACGACAATGTCGTAGTACTCTGCGTCGCCCTTGTACGGGCATTTCGTGATGAGGTTGCTCTTACGCAGGACGGCGGGATCGACTGCCCCCGGCGAGATGTAGTACCTCGTTGGAAGACCCGTCTCATGCAAATGGACAGATGAAGTGGCCTTTGCGACGGTCTTGCCTTCTACTCTGACTTCTACTGGACGTGAAGAAGGCAGGACATCTATTCGCTTGAAGGGGTCCTTGGGATGTACGTATACCGGGACGTCTTCTTCGAGCCATTGATCTGTGACAGCTGTCAGAACGAAAGAGCTTGCAGAATGGACGAGGTCTTACCCATTGCGCCAAACTCCAGGCGCAGGAGGCCTGACAACGCGCCGAGGCTCCTGTCATCCGTGAATCGGACCACGCGATCCGTCTTGGTCTCCTTGATGCCATTCCTTGATGGAATGGTAACTTCCACCACGGCAGCTCGAGCAACACCGTCGCTCCTCACCAGCTGTATATCTCTTTTGGAGCAGTTTTTGAGCTCGCTCAGGGGGAAATAGAATTGGGGGTAGGCATCGTGTTCCCAAACGTGCACAGCCTTGGTCGTATCTACGATTGTGGTGTGGTTGTGAATCACACGCACTCGTCGTGAGGCTGGGTATACTTTGCGAGGACCATTTGTGAGTAAGTAGCTGGCTAGGTCGGCAAGACTATAGCTACATGTGAGTGCTTGTGCGCTTTGGGAGTAGACCGGCAGACGTATCCAACGCATGCCATGTCACGTGCATGTAGGCAAAACTTACTTTGAGCCAAATGCTCCCGGTCTCGTCATCTTGAGGCTTTGTGAAGTATACAGATAGCTAAGTGTCTGTGGAAACAAGCTAGAACAGGAACAAGGTCATCTAGACAAAGGACAAACGGACGAAAAACACAAGGGAAAAAACAGCAGGGAAATCCTGATCGCCGTGGCACCACTCCCCTTTTAAAATGACCATTCGCATCGGCCATTTATGTCAAGTTTCGGCGCATGTGCGGAATAATTCAACCACCACCACCACCACCACCACCACCCCCCCGCCATGTTGGCATGTCCGTCTACCCCGCAAGGGTCTGTAAGTGCTTCTCGCGACAAGCCATTTATGACGCAACTTCTCGATAGCTTGGTGCAAGGCAGTGCCTCCCTCTAGCCTTGAGCCCTGGAGCGCGATCCGAAGACCTGTTTGGTAGGGCGAGCGGAGTACAGCACCGCCCCGACAACACCTTTTGCTTGGGCCGCCTTTTAAATTTAGGTTCCATGGATTCCGACTGGGTCCAACACCCAAAAATCCTGTCAAGGCATCCATGCTGTGTCAACGAAGTTGAACAATGGCTATGCGACTGAAGCAACGCTATTGGATGGTAGCATTGCCAGCGGCCACGGCGACTGTGGAACTGATGACATGATGGAGCCGTGATGATGGAGAGGGGATTGGGCACTGTTTTCGGGGTTGGTCGTTTCGTACTAATTTGGTCTTGCGGCTATACAGTCCCTTCAATTATGCAGGTCATCGTCATTCTTGTAAGTCGCTTATCCCTGTTGACAGAATACAAAATACTTGGGAACATGCCCAGTCAGACTGTTCTGAATGAGCGGCCAAAATCCGGGAAGCGAAGCGATTAGTTGGTGTTTTGTCACGGCATGGGCCGAAACAAAGCGCGAGTGCGTTGTTGCCATCACCGCGACACCGACTCATAATCTCTGCTAGTCCGGATATCGAAGCAGCTAGTCTTGGCTTCATGTGTGTTGCGTTGTATGTATAGGAATTTACGACCGTCGCCTTGCTGTGACGCTCGGTCTGAGCGATCCTCACACTGGCGAGCACAGTCGGTGAAGGATTGCAGGCTGCGTTCCTCATCCACAATTCGTGCCACGAAATTAGATTTGAAACACATGGCTGACTGACTAGTGATGATACAATAACTAGAAATGACCCCAGGTGTGGTCACGTCGTGTTGCGGCGTGTTGCACAGAGTGCGCGATTTGTGGTAGGCCTGTTGGTTGGTCAAGCCCTGGTATTCATTGAACCGACAACATACCGAGTAGGATAGCTCGATTTTATTTTTATCTGTCATAAATGGGGCGCAAGGAAAAGTACCCCGGAGAATCCTGTCTTTCATGGCATTCTAGGTACCCGTTAGCGAATAGTGAGCAGCAGAGCTTTTCCACGACGAGTGAGGCTTCATTGTCTGACTGTCGGAGCGTGACGGAGACGTCGCTTACACAGAACCTGCTGTGATGCCTTTTGACGTGTGCTGCCCGCATTGGCCAAATTCATTCATGCGCTGCTATGCTCTGGATGATTCATACACAGGGCAACCCTGACTCTTGAACTTCTGGTTTCGTGAGGACTTGACCAGGATTTTTGAGGTACGTGAAGCCGGAAATGCAAGGAAACAAGCATTAGAAATTACATGTGGCTCAAGAAGCGAAAGCGTGAGTATTGAATGCTTCCAAACCAACCCATGATACCGACTTTTGTAAGTACATGCGCAATATGCTCCGACAGAGCCCGCAGATCGAAGCTGATGGTAACACTGGGCAAAGAACCATCCGCTTCAATGTGATAAGTAGAGCCAAGGCTAGGAAGATCCAATGTCTTGGGCCATTTTTGGTTGCACCTAGGAGAAATGGTCATATGACTACAAGAAAAACCACAGCGGCTGATCATCTCGATGCTATGACCACTGTGGCGATTTGCGTCGAACACCAACTGACAAAGTGTGTCTGGCAACAGAATTTCTCGGGCATAGCGAGTGAATATAAAGTATGCGAGGATCTTCAGGTAGCTGTAGTGTCGCCCGAATGAACAAAAAATTAAACCCAAGTCTTCAAAAAAGCAGGCGAACTGCTCTCCGTGGTGGCTAGAGTCACACCTTGGAACGAAACACGGCTGTCAAGGTGACTAGAGACTGGGCACTTGATGATGAGTTAAAGGATTGGGTCCGTTCTCTTCAACCCGTTCGCCCTTGGCTAGATCTCAGCAGGACTACTTAAGTTTTAGTCTCACAAACCAGCGGATGGTTGCCCACTGTGGCGAGAGCCGGTGTCTGGGGAAGTGCTTGGGACCGTTGTATAGGGCTGAGGCCATTTTGTTCCTGATTTAGCCCGAGGTCGGATGGAGAGAAATCACCATGTCGGCCAGAGTTGCCGGTGGGTGGTGGTTGCTTATCAGAGGACGACCTCTCCGCGTCTCCACGCTTCGATCCAGAAAGAGACTTGCTTGGATCTGCGGAGCGGCAGACATCCAGATGTAGTATGTCGGGTGAGCTCGGTAGGCCAAACCTGTCCCACGAACGGCACGTAACGGCAAAGAACTGGCTGGCTGACTGACTGGTACAGGATAGTTGCAAGTGCCAAAAGACCCGCCACCGCTGACGATCACCAGTTCTCAAGCCTGTATTTTTTGTGGGTTCCTCAGGTAGAGTCTGGTTGTTGAGGCGGACCGGCAAGCCCAACCAACCGCACTCACAATGGAATTGTACAACCGTGCACGGGATATTTTATGCCCCAGGTTTTTAATGTCGAACCCAGCAAAATCAGCATCTTCATGCCCGACCTCAAAACAGTCGAGAGAGCTTTACACCTGCAAGCCATGATAGAGATTGGCAACGCCGCACGGCCATTGATCCCCACCCGATGTCTTCACCAAGCCAGTGGTTTGTTGAGGCATTATTCCGTCGCCGTATCAGGGAACTTGCGATTGACACCAAGGATATCTGGAACTGCCCCGACACGGCAAGGGACATCACCCGTTCACCAGGATCAACTCCATTGGTAGTTGCAAGGAGAACAGCATGGCACCAGACCACGTTTGTCAATGTTGGGGTTATTTTGGCGTCGGCTGCCCCATTCAGCCAAGAGTAGTGGACAAACAACAGGATCCGCTTGCAATGTTGCCGGTCCATCTGGATGCTGCGTATTTGATGGTGTGCTATGGCTATCGATTCGAGCCCCCACCCCCTCCCTCAGCAACTCGTCGCCGGAGTGTCATGAGTGTTTGCGTCGGCAGGACTCTGAAGATAAAAAAGCCGATGGAGAGCGGGACTACGATATACTGTGCCGGAGACGGGTGGTTTTGTTCTTGTAACAAGTTTCATCACCAAGCCTTGCTTGGTTGAACCCCGTCAACTACCTACCTAGGTACTTATCTCTAGCCTGTCCTATCTTCCTGTCTGTCTGTATCTTCAACTGCGCAAACCATACCTTCATCCACGGCTCAACAATGAGGCCCTCGGTTGTTACTAGTGGCTTCAATTCACTACGGTCAGTTGGCTCACGACCAACAGCTGTATTCCAGGCACCATGGACGGCAACAGCCATTTCTAGACCTGCCTTGCAGTCAATGGAGCAGGCCCGAACTGGCGCTACGCTGGTAGACTCGCCGACTGCGGCCCACGATCAACCCGAAGTTGTCGAGAACACCGCTAGACAAGCCAATGCAAAGAAAATTCTTCAGGATGCCGTCGCCGCCACGGGTCCGAGGCAAAACTGGACACGACAGGAGATTTCTGCCATTTACTACCAGCCTTTACTTGAATTGGCACATCAAGCTGTGAGTCAGACCCATCCCGATTGCCCTCGACTTGGCTTTCCCCCCATCTAGGCATAAGCACCAACATACTGACGCACGTGGCTCAGAGTCTTGTCCATAGGCGATTCCACAGCCCAGGCGAAGTTCAACTCTGCACATTGATGAACATCAAAACTGGCGGCTGCACCGAAGATTGCTCGTACTGCGCCCAAGCCACCCGTTACCAGAAGGGCACTGGTCTCGAAGCCAAGCGTGTCGAAAGTGTCGAGTCAGTTCTCGCAGCCGCCAGGACCGCCAAGGAAAATGGTAGCACCCGCTTCTGCATGGGCGCCGCATGGCGAGACATGCGCGGCCGCAAAAACAACCTCAAGAACATTACGGAAATGGTAAAGGGCGTCAAAGCCATGGGCATGGAGGTCTGTGTCACGCTTGGCATGATCGATGCTGAGCAGGCGAAGCAGTTGAAGGAGGCTGGGCTAACTGCTTACAACCACAATGTTGATACCAGTCGAGAGTTCTATCCGTCCATCATCACGACGAGATCGTATGATGAGCGTCTCAAGACGCTGAGCAACGTGCGGGATGCCGGTATCAATGTCTGCTCCGGCGGCATCTTGGGCCTCGGTGAATCATCCGAAGACAGGGTTGGTCTGCTTCACACCGTTTCAACATTGCCATGTCACCCAGAGAGTTTCCCGGTCAACGCCCTTGTTCCTATCAAGGGCACGCCGCTGGGAGACACGACACCGATTGCCTTTACGAGCATGCTGAGAACGATCGCGACGGCGCGAATCCTCATGCCCGCGACCATTATTCGTATTGCCGCTGGCCGCAAGACCATGTCAGAGGAGAAGCAGGCACTGTGCTTCATGGCGGGTGCCAATGCTATTTTCACTGGTGAGAAGATGTTGACTACCGATTGCAACGGGTGGGATGAGGATAGCGCCATGTTTGGCCGATGGGGTTTGGAGCCAATGAAGAGCTTTGATAAGAAGCCCGTCGAAGGTGCTGGTGACATTGAAGCCGGCAAGACGTAAGTACAGAAATCACATAGAATCAGCACAAAAATGAATGGAAGAAGAGATTTTAAAATATGATTACGCAGTAATTTCTTCATCTTATAGTTTGCTCGGCTCGTTCAACGGTAGTGATGTTAAATCGCCGACTAATGGTAGTTGCGCCCCGTCAACCCGCGGAGACAAGTCTCTTGCATGTTGCTGCTCAAGCCACTCCTCAATGGCCATGCACAAACCACGGACCTCGGAGCCTGTATTTGCGGCATGAAGACATAGCCGTACTCGGTCTGTGCCTTTGGGAACTGTCGGCGCAACGATGGGGCGCACCATGTACCCTCTCTGCTGACAGTGTCGAGCCAAACTCCTTGATTGTGCCGAGAATAGGGGAATGATTGGTGATTCCGGCGGGGAGGTGTTGATTCTGAATAGTTGGGGTGGAGGATTATGTTTCTCACAAACGGAAAGAAGAAGAGCGTGAGTCTCCTGCATTAGAGATATCAGGTTGGTCAAGAGACCGTCTGCTTGTCCGCTCTTCAAATGGTCGTAGACGGTTTGGATAGCAGTGAGCATGGGGTATCCCATTGCCGTGGTGTATATCAGGCTGCGCGCGTAGTTGATCAGATAAGACCGGGTAGCCGGCGTACAAAGAACAATAGCTGGGAAAAGTGTCAAAATAAAAACCTGCCATGACATCTGACGAGCCAGATGAGAGAAGAGAAGAAAAAAAACTCACCTCCAGCGCAACCCATTGCCTTTCCAAACGTATGCACCCGCGCCCATACTCGCTCCTCCAGCCCCAGCTGGCACACGAGACCCCTTCCTCTCTCGCCCATCCAACCGGTTGAGTGCGCCTCGTCAACAATTATGTGCCCATTGCCTCGAGCGAGATGCTTCTCCACGCATTCGACAATTTGCTCGAGTGGAGCGGCGTCACCATCCATGCTGTATACGCCCTCTACCGCAACAAACACGTTTGTCTGCCCGCTCCTCACCTTGTGGCCGTCTTGTCCCCTGAGCAAGTCGCTCAACACCGCGTCCAGGGGTCTTGGCCCAGAGGATTCCTGCAGACCAGACCGGTCCACGCAGTTGTGCGCAAACGGCATGGCCCGCGCCCTGCTCAGCTTCATCCCGTCGTGGACACTGGCGTGTATCAGCTCGTCGTACACGACGTAATCGCCAGGCTGCGGCGCGCAGCTGAACAGGCCCGTGTTTGCCTCAAAGCCCGAGTTGAAAAGTAAACCCGCCGGTGCGCCGTGAAATTGGGCGATTTGAGACTCTAGATTCTCTGCGGGAGCCATGTTGCCATCCAATAACCGCGATCCGCATGATCCCAACGAGAATTCATTTGAGCTCTGAAGATGTGAAATGTAAGCCGTCCTGACATGCGGGTTTGTCGAGAGAGACAAGTAGCCGTTGGATGAGAAGTCCACCACGCCCGGTTCACGGAGAGTCAGGCGACGCAGACGGCCTTGGTGCTCTCGACGCGTGAGAAGCGACTTGAATGTGTCGTCTAGGCGGCTCCTGGAGGGAGTCATGATTAGTGCCGGTAGGACGAAGCCAATTGACTCATTTTTATATACATATATTTTATTTTTAATTTTCTGGAAAGGCCGGGAAGGATTGCTGCGGAAATGCCAGTGCACTCAGTGATAAGATCTCAAGCTATGCATTAACACATGTGGGCTGGACAAGCCCACGGCCCCATCGTCTGCAAACCATTGAACGACCATGGGCGGTTAGCGCTTTGCAGAATTCAATTGAGCTGGCACCGGGCAACTGGGTTGTCGTTTCAATCCAGCCCAGGAAAAAAGAGCCTCTGGTAGTTGGCCATCCGTCCGATCCCGGGCGGCCAACGCAATTGACTCAACGTGAATTGCCTGCGCCATGGGAAGACGTCGGCGGTTTTGGGTGTCTTCGGCTCAACCACCTTGTGAAGCGGCTTAAGCCCCTGTGCTGGAGATTGTTGGCGGCGGGCCTTGGGCCTCTGTTCTCCTTGGAGACTGGAAGATCGGAGTGGTTTGCAGCGCCAAATGGGCACCTGGGAGCATCCCCACACGATCCATGTGGATGATGCAGCGAAGACTACAACTAGGTCACAGTGTCCACAGTGCCCCGGGTAGCAGCTGGTGACGTCAAGGGACATTAATAATAGTGAAGATTATAGCGTTTATGCTGTACAGCGTTTTGTAACCTAGATTTTTATGGGTACTTATATTATTACATAAAATGCTAAGGGATTAAGGTACCATGTAAACTCAAGCTTTCAATTGGTTGCTCATCCCCGCAGCTACATACCTACCTAGGTACCTACTAGTAGGTAGGTAATTGTAGTCTTCGCTGCTTTAGGGGATAGAACAGATCCAAGAACGGAGTACCATGTACCTTGTACCGTCCATGTACCTCGTACCTCGTACCGCCGGTTCGCCGCGACCCAACAAAACACCGCGATGCCGGCCCTTGTATAACTGCTTGGTATAACTGCGCACATCCGAGTTGATCCAGTTGCTCACGACGTTGCTCAATGCCGTGCTTGTCAACTTCTGCGCCAGAGGCCGTGATTTGCCTGTTGTAGTTGGACCTCGAGGCACCATGAAGTCGCCGTTGGCCTCGCTGCTTTGGCGCTCCCTCCGTGTGTACCAGGTGTTCGGTGCGAATACAGACGTCGGCAAGACCATTTTCACCACGTTGCTTGCCCGGACGGCCAAGAAGCTCTGGAAAGAAGAGCATGTGGCATTTCTGAAGCCTGTTTCTACTGGCCCCGGGGACGAAGCTGATGATCGGTGTAAGTCTCTTTGCAGCCTCATTCTATCGTCAAGTGCCGTGACTAACAACAGCACACACCTTTTGTATAGATGACTGCTCTTTGAACAAACTTGACACTGCAGGTTACATCTAATTAGATTGAGCAGGCATATAAGCCGGTTTGCACCAGGAGTAGCCCGCAACACCCTCTACCAATATGATATACCGTGCAGCCCTCACACCGCAGCCATCGCATCTGGAAGAGTAAAAGAAACAAGCCCGCCAGTCGCAGCCCAAAGACCAATATCACTAACACGGTGATAGCCCATACCATCAGAAGAAGAACTATTGGCCAAGTGCCGTGCCTTTGCAGCCCAATGCGCTGCTAGAAACGGATGGCTGTTCATGGAGACGGCTGGAGGCGTACATTCCCCCGGACCCTCTGGCAAGACTCAAGCCGACTTATACATGCCCTTGCGCGCTCCGTCTCTCATGGTCGGCGACTCTCGGCTCGGAGGTATCTCGCAGACAATTTCGGCCTTTGAGTCTCTCCGGATCCGCGGCTACGACGTAGAATCCGTGCTCCTCTTCAAGGATGACAGCTATGAAAACTATCGCTATCTCGAGGACTACTTCCGCAAGCAACACGGCATTCCCGTCACCAGCTTGCTACAGCCGCCCGAGAAACACGACAATCCCGAGCAGGATGCAGACGCCATGGAGAACTACTACCATCGCGAGGACTTGGCTGAAATCACCGGCCAGGTACTGCAGGCATTGGACCGTAACCACGCGGCCCGGTTAAGAAACCTGGATACAATGGCCACACGAGCCAGCAAGCACATCTGGTACCCCTTTACGCAACAGAGCCTCGTCGGACCCAAGGACATCATGACCATCGACTCGGCCCACGGCGACTACTTCCAGACGCTGGCGCCGCCGGCCGCGACCCCGTCCCCCGACACGCCCGTCCTCCGCTCATCCTTCGACGCCTCGGCATCGTGGTGGACGCAAGGCCTGGGCCACTCCAACCCGAAGCTCACAATGGCAGCCGCGTATGCCGCCGGCCGCTACGGCCACGTCATGTTCGCCTCGGCCGTCCACCAGCCCGCCATGGCCCTCGCGGAAACGCTCCTCGACGGCATCAGGAACCCGCGCCTCAACCGCGTCTTCTACTCCGACAACGGGAGCACGGGAATAGAGGTCGCCATCAAGATGGGTCTGCGGGCCGCGCGGAAGCGCTACGGCTGGGACACGACCCAGAAACTGGACATTTTGGGGCTCAAGGGCTCGTATCATGGCGATACCATGGGGGCCATGGACTGCGCCGAGCCGGGCATCTACAACGAGAAGATTGAGTGGTACCAGGGCAAGGGGCACTGGCTCGACTACCCTACCGTCCTGTGCAGGGACGGGAAATGGACTGTTTCCGTGGCCGACGGGCTGCAGGAGAGCCTCGGCCGGGGAGGGACGTATAGTTCGCTGCGCGAGATATTCGACGTCGCGGGCCGCGAGGCAAACGGCGAACACGGCGTGTACAAGACATACGTCACGTCTGCGCTGCGACGGCTGAGGAACCAGGGCCACAAATTCGGCGCCCTGATGCTGGAACCCGTCGTCCTCGGTGCCGGAGGCATGCAGTTTGTGTAAGTGCCCTCCGGAAACAAACTACCGTCCTCCCAGTTACTAACAGAGGCCCGAGTGACCCCTTGTTCCAACGAACCCTCGTCAACACGGTCCGCGAGTCCCCCCATCTCTTTGGCGAGTCGGCCCTCTCCGCGGATGAAGCCCAAGACCCGAATGAATGGACCGGTCTCCCCGTCGTCTTTGACGAAGTCTTCACGGGTCTCTACCGCCTCGGCCGCTTCACGCCCTCCTCCTTCCTGGGCGTGCACCCTGATATTTCCGTTCACGCAAAGCTGCTCACTGGCGGTCTTGTGCCGCTATGCACGACGCTTGCATCGGAAAATATCTTCAAAATCTTCCTAAGCCCCGACAAGACGGATGCTTTGCTCCATGGACACAGCTACACCGCCCACCCGATTGGATGCCAGGTTGCTTTAGAGTCGGTGAAGGAGATGCAGGACATGGAAAACCGTGGGGAATGGGACTGGGCAAAGACGCGAGGATGGACGCAGCATTCTGGTCAGAGTGAAGCGCAGATTGATGTGTGGTCTACGTGGCCGAGGGAGTTTGTCGAACGGCTGTCCCGCCAGACGGACAAGGTGATGGGGGTATGGGCTCTGGGCAGCGTCTTGGCAATCCATTTGAGAGATGAAGCTGGCGCGGGATATAGTAGCAACGCCGCACTGGGGTTGAGGGAGAGCTTGGGTCTGGGTAGAGCAGACGGAGAGGGCGGCCCTTGGAACGTGCATAGTCGTGTATTGGGAAATGTCTTGTATGTAATGGCTAGTCAGGTAACGTCCGAGACGAGCGTGAGGCAGCTTTCTGAGCTATTGACGGAGAGCCTTGCGCGGAAGAATTAATTCTAATGACGATGCTTTTACATACAGTTACATGGCAATCCTTGATGCAACCGCCATCTCTCTCTCTGGGCCACCCCCCACTATCCCATGACTAGATATGGGCCCATAGCGACCATCAAGATGAGAGGACTTCAAAAGCCAAAAGAAGAAGAATGCCCATGGACCGAAAAGCCACAAGTCCAAGCCCACGAGCAGCACTCCCCGTAACCGTGGCGGTGCCCACACTGCCCGTAGGATTCCCAGTAACACTCGAATTCAGAGATGCCGCGGCACAATAATCCTGCCTTTGAGTGCCATTGGCGGCAGCAGTTGATAATGGCTCCTCTCGCCTCACTAGAGTGGGCTCAATTTTCGCACCCACATCCAGAAAGCTGTCCTGCAGCAGCTCCAGCATGTCCTGTCTTCTCATGAGGCTGCTCAGGAGACCCCTAGCGACGGAGGAGCCGCACTCATCATGCTTGTTATGGTTGTGCTCCGACTCGTCTCGCTTGGAGAAGTGAACCCCGGCAGTTGGAACCCAGCAGTTATCTTGAGCACGGCCAGCACGCAAGGCGCAAATCTCTGTCTGTCGACACTTGTCGGTGCACTGTTTGTCGGCTTGCCAACCTCGGGACTTGCGAGCCATGTAGGCGTCGAATTCGGTCTGGTTCTTCTCAAAAGCGACGGTGACGTTGTGCCAGAAGGCGGGGGATAGCTCTGCTTTGGGCTCTGTGAGACGGGGCTTGATGATTTCAGCATAGGCCTCTTTTGCCGAGTAGTACTGCTTCCACGTTGGGCCACTCGTCTGGAAGCTCTGGTCGTCCATATCGGCAATGTAAGTTTTGGCATCAATGACTTCAAAAGTCTCTGCGTCTACGTCGTAGACTTTGAAGGACGGCATGCCGGCTGTGGGGGTTAGCGAGGGGCAAATGTAGGAAATCGCAACGGCATTTTCGTGAGTACGTTCAGTGTAATTGGAGTAGCTGATTTCGAAATGGTCAAGGTGGGTGTGGCCAAAGAACATGGCCTTTATGGTATTGGAGTAGCGGTTGACAATCTGATCGAAGTAGTTGGAACCGCCGGGCAGGGCGTCTGCATCTCCCATTGGCATGTGGCCGATGATGTACACATTCTCGCCGATCGTCTCCGCAGCTTCGAGTTCCTTGACCAACCAGTTAAACTGGCCATTGGGATCTTTCTCAAGCGCTTCCTGGTACAGAATAAAGTTGAGTCGGTAGTACATGTTGGTGTTGAGAGAAATAATGCGAAGATTGCCCTTGGGGTACCTGGTGGAGTAGGCACCAACGGCCCGGGCCTGTACCATGGATGAGTTTCCAATCCAGCGAGACCACTGCCTGGAAAGGCTGTCATAAACCCATTGAGTTTCATTTCCTATGGACACGGGCTCAAAGATGTTTGGTGGGTGAACCTCGTGGTTACCAGTAGTTCCATACACAATATCGAGGTTCTCAGTCATCATCTCATACGAGTGTTGGATGAGGTCTTCGTTATAAGACTTGCTGGTATTCCAAAGACCGTGGTCGACAATGTCGCCAGTGAAGAGAGAGAAAGCAGCATGTGGAAAATCCTTTTTGATGAACTCGTACATGCTCTTCTCCAGAGTAATCGGAGAATCACATGCGTGATCGCCAAATGGTCCCGCGGGATTCTTCGTCTTGCCCGGCTTGTCACCCTCAGTGTAGGATCGGCAGCATGTGGGTTTGTCACACTTGGTGTTAGATCCCTTCTCGTACAAAGGGTCGACATGAATATCCGAGAAATGAACGACCTGGATAATCTCTCTGTCTTGGTCTTTGAGGATCTTGTCCTTGGGCCCATGGCAAGACTTCTGGAACGCAAACTCGACATTCCATTCATCGATTTTTGGGGCATCGCACACTCCGAGGAAACTCATACAGAAATGGATAGAAGAGTCGGATCCAATTTTCATGGTTCTGATTATAGAAGCAATCGAAGGTGCCTCGCGCTCGACAACTCCAGTGCAGAATTCCTCGTCATAGGACTGCAAAGCATTAGGTTTTGCGCAAAACAAATTGTGGTGCAGCTGGTACTGACACTGCTTATTTTGCAGAGCTTTTTGCCCAGGAAGATGAGGGCTGCGTCTCCAGTCTTGACCAAAGCCTTGAGGACTGAGAGAACCCTCTGAATCATCATCGTGTTAGCCCTCCCTACTAACCGAAGTCCACAAGTAAGGTGGAAATGCGGGAACGCCAACCTTGCAACCGTTACAAGTATCCAATTCACCAAGTAAACTGGTTAAATCTCGAGTCTCGCGCGCCCATGTCCGTGCCTCCAATGATCGCTGAAGCTTCTCGTGGTCCAACTCTGCCGCTGTCAATCCAAGATTGCACGCCACCAACGCCGACAGTATGGCCGCAAGACGCATCTTTGTTATTGCCTTTGCGTATAAGATGCGGTAACACACGACCGGCAGCGAAATACAAAGGCGGAAAAAAAAAAAGAACGGGAGAAAGAAAGTGGTAGGATATCATGCCGCAGCGAGAATCAAAAGCAGGAGAAGGAAGAAACCAACACATTGAATGCATTACCCCATGCGAAAGGTCCACCAGCTGATTTCGTCTGGGGTAACATGGAAAGCTCCAAGTTGAAGCCTGGCATCGTGACCAGGCTCATCCTGAGCTGAGCTAGAAACGCCAGGGCCACCGGGACCTAACTCAGTACACACTAGCCAACCTACTCAATTTAATGTATAATATAACATATTAGACTCGATATTACGGGGCTGATGAATCATCAGAGGGCCCCCAAAGGTCGATAGAGGGGCAAGATGGTGGTGTTGCTGAGTTAAGGAATCGAGGATCCTTGGATGCTAGCATGGGTCTAGGCACACGGGTACGCGAGCATGGTTACTAGGATGCATAATTCGCCACATGCAATAGACTTTACTCCGTAGTACTTGTTGGCACCTGTCAGGCACCTGCCAGGCACTTGCGACTAAGCTGATAAGCCAACCTTCCAAACCTGGCTGTCGCCCTGCTCTCATTCGTCTGCGCCGCCAGTGACCAGACAGCTTCGCTTCGCTTCGCTTCGAGCTTGGCCGGCTCAAGCCTCAAGTGCTCCATGTCGCCCCCAGCCGAGCGTACGAATCAGCCAACCAACTGGGGAGCTGGCCGCTACAAGACCCGCCAAGTGCTCCATCTGGCGACATGGAGTTTAGTGGCGTCGGAGACAAATCGACTTGGACATGGAGTAATTGACCAGACCAGACGGCTCGATGTTGCCAGGGCTGCGATCTTCTTCCAGATTTCACACCACTAAAATTTGAGGGCACGCTAGGCACGCCTGGCTTTAGTACCGGACATACACTTCGCTGTTCATCAATCCATTGGACTACATATGTATTGCACCAGACCCTCTTCGCTTCCAACCGAGCCTGCCAGGCAACAAAGGCTGGCACCCATCGGCATACGACCCAGCCATTCACATCGGGGTATACCAGACTCCAGAGGTCTGATATCTCCATGCATGCACGATGCATCGCATTAACTACGACGACGGGCCAACAGCGAACCGTGACAGTATCTGAGTATCCGATGGCACTTCTGTGAGGGGCGAACATACATACTTATTGAAAGTCCCTAGCTATATACTTCGACTACCCCTCTGTCTTTCTGGAGGGCATCCTTGGAGCCGTAGAAGCCATTCGCTTCGTACATGACTAGCCTATTGCCCAGTTATCCCTTCGACGCTGGAGCGCCGTTTTCCTCCTCCCTTTCTTTCCACTTTCTATCAATCCTTTAGGCTTCATTGTTCGGCATTCTTTCATGTCGTTGCCCTTGCCACTGGTCGTCCTAAGACGTCTTCTCACTTCACATTCCTCAACGCTTCTCCATGAGTGGCATATCAGCTTCTTTCAACCCTATCCCAAGCAAGTGAGTAAGGATGCAATGTTGACATTGGTCTACGGTGGCTTCCCATGGCACAAGTGGCGTCATCGTCAAACTCATCATGTCTAACACCACCGCGCTCGTTCCATATCGCATTAGTCCAGCTCTTCTTGTACCCAGCCACAGTGCAATTCATAGCCTACATTCAGATAAGCCACTTCTGGACCAGCATGGACCGCTACTCGCCGCACTCGAGCTAGACCGTCGATGTCGTTGCTCGACTTGACAATAAACTCGCCTTCCTCGAGCGCAATGACTCTCTTAGCGACCTTGGCCGCCATCTTGCTATTCCATATGCCTTCTTGAATATGGTTGGTCTCCATGATGTCTATCGCCCGCCGTCGCACTTCCGGGTCTCGGCATTTGGAACTTAGGAAGAAAAGTGCTGGCAGTATGCCAATTTCCATATAAAATTGCGGTTGGTTATCAGCTGGTGCATCTGCAACATCAAGCCCGCCAGCCTCTGTTGCAAATTCGACCATTTCGCGGAACTGATCTGTCCACAAATCCCACATCGATGGATCCTCACGGTCGGCTTGATTCAATGCCGCGATATTGATATACAAGTATCGCTTGTGTAGTTCTAACAGTGCAAACGCCCGCTTCTCTGTTGAGTTCAGGCTGTTCCGGTCAACGGTCCTACGAAACTCATCAAACGCCTCCGTCCAAGCGTCGAATCGGATACCCAAGGCTTTGGATTGCGCCATCGTCATATCGCGTCTGTATTGCAAGGCCAGCTTGAGCAAAGAATCCCGTGCCTCTTGGATTGACGACAGTGTTGGCTTAGGTGTCATAGTTACCATGCGAAGCTTTAGCATGGGCGAAATGATGTCGGCAAGCTTGTGATCAATATCGCCTCCGATAGCCTCAGACCGAGTTAGTAAGTTGCAGTACGCGTTTAAGGCCTAGAGCTTACTCACGAGAAAGACTTGAGTCGATATACGAGCAAAAAATGCCTCCACAAGCCTAATAATGGGCTCAATAGATATTCCCGTAGCACCACCAACGTATCCCCCTTTTCTGACCTGCTTCATAGCCCCTTCGATCATTCTACAGCCGTATTTGAAGAGGTACATGGCATTACTTATATTCCTCCGGAGAATCTAGTAGCATAGTCAGTCTTGCGACCTTCAGTTGCCAGCTGACTTGCAATTCTTACCTCAATGCAGATAAATATTGTGCAAGAAACAAGTTGGATGTGGAGATACGACGGTCGGTCAGCCCCGGATTTAACAAGCTCGCTAATCGCCAAATTGTATTGACGCAGGCCATATGACGTTTCACCGCCTACATCCCGGCTCCAGTATCGCTCATGATACGATGACAATGCAACCAAAGCATGTCGGATGCAAGTGTTAGAATGGGCTAGTTGGAGGACCCGGCTGCTCCACAAGTCGTCTGGCATGAATGTTCCGAATTGTACGGCAGTGCGCTCTACGAAGAACTGCAATGCTCGGACTTCTTGGGTCGTGCCGGATGATGAAGCAATGCGAGTCAAAGTCAGAGACGGTGTGGTGACGCCCGTCGCCAGAGGACTATCATATCCGTCGCAGATGCGGCCAGTCTTGCAGCCTATAGGAGACTGTCAGCCTGCCATCTTGTCTGACAATCGGCTTCTGAGGTTAACTCACATCTTTCACACGCGGGGCGTCCCTCGTCGCACTTGATCCTCCGAACTAAGCTCAGATGTCAGCACTCTACTCCATGTGATAAGACAAGACAGAACCCTATGCAGACTTCTATTGGACACTTGAATTAGTATGAGGATTTCAGCGGAACAGCGGAACAGACATTAGACTAACTTGCATGTTTTGCAGCCAGTCCGGACTTTGGGGGCCATTGCCCTCTGGCGTTCGCCTGGTTTGACTCGAGGCATCCTCAGCAGGGTGCTTGTGTCATCGAGACACGTTCAGATACATGTACACTTTCGTTACAGCATTGGCTTATTTTGTCGATATTTGCGCAATCTACACATGGCACCCGTGTACTAGTTTTGCGCAACGGGTGTGCCATGGACCATGAGGACGACGTAAATTTCAAGACGAATCTCGTAGAGTGAAGTGGTCAAACTCTACTCCACGTACATGTTGGTGGTAGAATTTCCCCACACAAAGGACAACTTCAGATTGGGGAAGCACCCTGGCTGAACCTCCACTTCACATGCCGAACAACGGCACACTCCGACACTGTAGTGCACTGGGTTCTGCTCTGAGTTGCTCCAGAGTCCATAACGAGGTAGCTGTGCTGTGAGGCAGGATCAATAGCCCGTTGTGGGGGATTGCGCCGACGTAGACCGTGGCGATTTATTTCCTTGGCTTCGGCCAACGTTGTGCATTTGTATCGTATTGTATTGTGCTGTACACATGTTGGTTGCCAAGGCTGTCATGGCGATCTTTGCTACGGAGTAGTGAAAGCAGGAATTGCCACTTCTAGCCTGTGTCGGGAACATTCCAACGACCCGATAAGTTACCTGTTCCCTGTCAAGCCAGCAAACACGCGCCATTCTGGAGCAATGCTGTTCCTCGTTAAGAAATACTGACCTTAGGCATGGGATCGAACATTGCGGAATCCAATATCCAGCTGTCTGATGCGCCTACCAGGCACCGACCGAGGCGTATTTGGAAACAAAGGAACTTGCCTATCCCGTATGTCGTACTATTATGGCCACTTTCGATTTGTGGCTAGTGTGAATATCACTCGTCGCTGAGTTGATTTATATTTTCCCCGAGTATGTTGAAGTACACCCATTTTAATACAGATGCGTCTAGGTTACAACTGGGCTCAAATGAAATAGTAGAGGACACTAGAACCCTGATTGCGTTGGCGGGGCTTCTGAAAGTCGACCTGATTTTTGCCAGAAAGATACAGAGCGTCCCCGTATATACCATGCTTTGGTTTCTCTTCTCTTGGTAGATAGCTGATTGTGATTTGATGCTACAAACAACTTTTGAGGAGGAAGGAGCGACACCCGTTGGCCCCATAAACAAAAATCTCAGGACATTAGTCAGCGTCAAGTGAACAAGAAGACTTTTCACCGTTAGCTCACTGAACCTACGAAGACGCAGTCTCTTCCTGCATCACAGGACTGACAACCAAATGACTGAGCTTTTGCAGCGAACCGAACCGACTCATCTGCCGCGCGTCTTCCATCGGAAGTGGCCTCTGTAAGGTGCACAAGGACAGCAAAATACAAAATGGTAGGCTGCAAGCTGCTGTTGACGGCTAGGCGCATGCCGCACAGTGGATTCCAGCGCTCCCAAATGTTGGGGCCCCAGATGAACGCTAAACTTGTTACTATAGGTAGTTATCAAACAGTCCTGCTTAGCGGGTTCTTCGATCCGGGGACGCCGCGAAGTGCCGCTGATGGACTCCGGCCTCATGAGCTCCCCACGCCATCGGATCAAGGCAGGAACTGTGTCGTGATTGGTGTGTGATGCGGCAGAAATAGACAGAGGCGGCCTGCCGATGTCTATTCCCGAGCAACCCACCCTTTCTGTCGTTCCGGCTGGCCAGTCCGCAAAAGCTGCATTCCCCGCGACGTTGGGCGCTCTCCGTGTGGGGATGATCAACAGCCAGTTATACACAATGGTTTGTAATTTGACGATGAAAATGAAAATGCTGCCAGCTGGGCCAGGCCCAAGGCTGACACATGATGTTTCACCAGCAGATTCTGTCCACATCTTGTAACCATCGAAATAACCGAGAAAGCGGGCCGAGACACCGGAAGAATACAAGGGAGAGTTGAAGCCTGCGGGGTCGGAACTTGGAAGTTGGCCAAATCAAGCCACGGGACCTTGCTAGTATATATATGGCGTTGGCGTTCTAGCTAGTAGTAGTCATGGCATCTCGGGCCACAGCCAGCTTTCCAAACATTTCAGCGCCGAAACTGCTGTGTCGCGAGACCACCATTGCGAACCAAACTTGACATCTGCAAAACCGAAGATTGATTGTCAATCTTGGCATGGCACTGACAGAGTACGTGTTCAGCCCATCGGCCGTGCTGGCCATTGTTGGCTTGGTATTATCATCTTATATTTTCGACTATTTTGCGACGAATGGAAAGCTGCGTGGGATCCCAGCGCCGTTCGGTGCGCAGTTTTCGAATTTATGGCTATTGATGGTTTGCCGACGAGGAAATCGATACAAGACCGTTGACGACTACCATGCGAAGCTGGGCAAAGTGGTGCGCATACAACCAAACCACGTCAGTATCGCCGACGATGCAGCGATTCCTACTATTTACGGTCACGGCAATGGATTTTTGAAATCGTAAGCAACATCTGGTCTCCTGCTAGATGGAATAGATCAGACCACACTACCTGGAGCTAACGCTGATGATTAGCGAATTTTATGATGCCTTTGTGTCCATTCGCCGTGGTCTGTTCAACACTCGAGTCAGGCACGAACACACTCGAAAACGAAAGATGGTTTCTCATACCTTCTCCGCTAAATCTGTGGTTCAATTTGAGCCGTATATCCATGAGAACTTGGTCTTGTTCGTGCGACAGCTTGACAAACTGGTTGAGCAAAGCTCCCACAGGACACAGGATGGAAAGCCGGAGGCACACCTTGATGCACTAATGTGGTTCAACTTCCTCGCTTTTGATGTGATCGGCGATTTAGCATTTGGTGCGCCGTTTGGAATGCTTGAAAAAGGAGCAGATGTCGCCGAGATTAGGTCATCGCCAGATAGCCCACCGATCTATGCCCCGGCTATCGAGATTCTGAACCGAAGAGGGGAAGTTAGCGCAACGCTGGGTTGTTATCCGCAACTCAAACCCTACGCATCTATACTCCCTGACCCGTTCTTCAGCCAGGGTCTGCAAGCTGTAGAGAATCTCGCCGGTATTGCCATTGCTCGAGTCAAAAGCCGGGTTGAGAATCCTCCAGACGTGGATCGTAAGGATTTGCTTGCCCGGCTTATGGAAGGTAAAGATGACAATGGGCAACCTCTCGGCCGTGAGGAGTTGACTGCCGAAGCACTGACACAGCTGATTGCCGGAAGCGACACAACATCCAATTCGTCCTGTGCTCTTATGAACTACTTGGTCCGTGACCCGCGTGTTTTACAGAAACTTCAAGCTGAGCTCGACGCCTCAATCCCTGAACATGTCGATGTACCAACATATGACATGGTTCGTGATCTTCAGTATCTTGGATGGGTCATCAATGAAGCGCTGCGTCACCACAGTACGTCTGGCATTGGACTGCCGCGTCAAGTTCCACCCGAGTCACCCGGTGTTGTTATCCAGGGACACTTCTTCCCCAGTGGCACCATTCTTAGCGTGCCCACCTACACCATTCACCACTCCAAGGAGGTCTGGGGAGAAGATGCGGAGGAGTATAAGCCTGAGAGATGGGAGAATGTCACAACCAGGCAAAAGAACGCCTTTATTCCTTTCAGCCATGGGCCAAGATCTTGTGTGGGACGAAACGTGGCAGAGATGGAGATGAAGCTGATTTTGGCCACTTGGGCAAGGCGCTACGCGGTTACTCTTCGACAGGGACCAATGGAAACCAGAGAAGGATTTCTGAGGAAGCCTCTGGGCTTGGAGGTGGGCCTATCAAGAAGGTAGTGTAAATGTATTCTGCTTTTTCTCAAAAACTTGGGTCGGAATTTAGTCCTTGATACATGAGAACTGTGTATGATATTGGATAGCGGAGTCGATGAGAGTAGGCCGTATGGGGTTACATGGCCAATCATTGAAGTACATACAAATCAAGTCTATGCTTGAACTTCTGGAAAATGCTCGAATAGTTACCTCGGTGTTTGCTCCGCCACTTAAACTCTACTCATCAGGCCCCTCCAAAGTCTCGTTTGAAGCTGATATCCATCTTGCTCTCAAATCCGGCTCCTTCTCAAAGACCTTATCAAACGGCCACATGGGCCTCCGGATTCTATGATGACCCAGTCTCTCCAGATCCTGATCGACGCCACCAGGAGTCAAGGCCAGCATCCAACCTTTGGCCATGTCATATAGCTCTGGCTCCAGATACCCAATCTTCACAATTACCACATCTGCCGCTCTCGGCCTGAGGCTCAACTCGGTAAAGTCTCTTTCCTTGTGATACGGCTTCCGCAACTTGGTAAGAATAGCATAGACGGAACCAACCTGCAGCACAACCTCGGCCTCAGCATCCCGGTCCCCGTACTTCATGGCGTAGACTGTGCCGGTCATTGTAAGCGGCGACGCGTGGATGTCGTCGACTGCGCCTCCGGCCGTGACCGTGACTGTCGCGCCGATACCTGCCTCTACCGCGGTGGCCACGGCCTCTGGTCCCGGCACGCTCGCGTAGATAACCGTGTACTTGGAGCCGGCGTTCTGGAACTCGGGACGCTTGAGGAGCTGCGTCAGGCCCCAGGTAACGTCCCCGGAGCCCCCGGCCGTGGGATTGTCCCCCGAATCCGAAATAAAATACGGCCTCTGTGAGGCTGGAGATGCGACTGCGGCATCGAGACACTCTGCATAGGACCCCGTGGGCGCGACAAATTCGAAATCAGCGTGTGCGTCCCAAAATAGCCTCGCGAGCCGTTCTGCTCCCTTGGCCACGGCGACCTTGTCCCAGCCGGTGGCCATGACGGCGGCACGACTTCGTGGCTCATCTGCCCAGGCGTATCCGACCCATATCGCTGCGTCGATGACACCTGGCATTGATTCCACCTCTGGAACGGCGGCGTAGATGTGCTTTGCTGGTTCTATCCGCGTGGAGGTCTGCTCCCCGGGTAGCAGGATGGGAACAGGAATCCAGGCCTTTAGTGGCCGCGCGCCCGGAGGTTTCGATTTTAAGATGTCGACCAGGTTCCGACACGCCCGCTCTTTTGTTTCCATTGCGTCTTCGTGAGGGGCCATTCGATAGCAGGTAATGAGGTCGCACATGTGCGCTAGTTCCCTGGACACGTTTCCGTGAAGGTCCATTGACGCAGAGACAATGACATGCGGGCCGATGACGCGGCGAACCCGGCGTAGGAGCTCTGCTTCAATGTCGTCCATGCCCTCTACCACCATGGCGCCGTGGATGTCAAACCATAGTCCCTCTAGTTTGTTGCGGGCAACGATGTCCTGAAGCCGATGCAGGATCTCGGTGGTCAGTATTTCGAAGGCATCGCGAGTTACGACACCGCCGGGAAGCGCGTGTCCGATCAAGGCCCCTTTCCATTGTGCATCTTGGCCGAGTGGCTGGTCGGCATGGAGGAACTGGTATCGTTGGATGATTTCGTCACCTCGTCTGGGGTGAAATGCGGGGGCGAGAGTCCGTGATGGGGTGAAGGTTGATGTTTCGCACGCCAGGCCAGCGATGGCGACAATGGGACGACGGACCATGGCTGCGGCTGGCTTTGGCTTACAAGCTGTGAGAATAATCTAGTTTCGGGGGCTTGTGTGCTTGATATCCTGCGTCGGCGAGACGTCAAGATGCACGCGATGAGTCCGCAAGTCATATTACGGGTGTAAGTCGTCTGACGACGGTCACACATATTTGACGAAATGAAATTGCCCGACGGGTCTCAGGATGATTAGAGTGTGGGGGAGTCGAGGCTGCAAAGTGACTGGTCTGGTCCATGCATCTGTTCCTCGTGGAATGATGAATCTGGTTGCTATTGTGTCCTCCACCTAAAATATCCCGCCCAACATACAGGCTCTCGTCTCCACGAGCCAAGTTAATGTTCTTCTTTGTCTAATACCCATTTGCTGCGCGGCGCCGAGTGGTCTTCCTATGCCACATGCAAGCCTGACGTAGAAGCGTTGCGGATCGTCACTCTTTTTGAAAAGCCGTGGGTTGTACGGAACCATCTGCGAAGGGAAGGTGACTGTGAGACATAGCAGTCATTCCCCAATAAGCATCAAAAATTTTTCTGGTCCCGCGTCCCGTTAGGGTCTCGTGGTTTTAATTTCCCGTCCTGCCAAGTTGCCGTTACCGGCAAGCTGCTATCAGGGTTACATTTGTTAGTCGTGCTGCGGTTTCGTGGAGAAACCCCATCATGCCTCCATGCTCTGCCAACTCGAGTCGACTTGGAGAAGGTAAAGACGGATATTGAACGCCTGACGAAGCTGATGTCCGAATGATACTTGGCTGTGTCCTGACGGGGACTAACTAGGCTTGTCTTCATTATGTCCCTGCTGCAACTGCAAGTTACAGGCCGTCTTCAGCTTGCAATGTTGCGATCAACACCATCAGGAACTTGGCTCCCCTCGTGGACTCCAGAGTCCACGTCGACCCTGTCCGTCTTACTGACGCTCTGCTCCGTGGTTCAGTCTACCACTGGTGGCTATGACGGATCCATGCTCAACGGACTGAACATTTTGCCTTCTTACACCGATTATTTCAGGCTCACATCTGCGACTCAAGGCCTCAATACAGCTTCTGTCTTCATCGGAGGTTTCTTTGGCCCCATGGTTGGGGGAGTCATGTCTGACAAACTGGGACGACGGCCAGCACTGTTCTGGGCATCCGTCATCACCATGGTTGGCATCGTTCTACAGAGTGCAGCGCAGAACGTAGCCATGTTTGTAGTGGCTCGTATTATCCTCGGGTTTGGGGGTGGCATCAGCAACGTTGCTGCCCCGGTGTATCTCAGCGAAACCTTTCCAAGTCGCTGGCGTGCCTAGGGCGTTGGTGTACGTATTCAGGTCCCTCGAGTAGAAGGATCTGTCAATTCTAACACGCGGTTAAGCTGCTGAACAACTTCTATTACATTGGTGCGCTGATTGCGGCCGGCGTTACCCTCGGTACGGGTAGATGGGATTCTACGTGGGCGTGGCGGTGCCCGCCCTTGTTGCAGAGCGTTTTCTCCCTCATTTGTATTCTGATGCTGCCTTTTGTTCCAGAATCTCCTCGATGGCTGATCCGTCAGGACCGATATGAAGATGCTCGGTTGGTCGTGGCGCAGACCAACGCCGACGGCAATTTGACTGATCCTGTTGCCATGACGGTCTACAAGGAAATCGTCGACACCCTGGAGTGGGAGAAGAAGCAAGGCCGAAGCATGAGTCCCATGGAGATCTTCCAGGACCCAGTGGCGAGGAAGAGGGTTCTAGTTGGCGGCTCTACTGGGCCGTTTTCATGCATCGCCGGCAATATTATTGCGTCGTATTATCTGGGGAACGAGCTGAGCACCGCGGGAGTGAAGAGCTCCGATGACCAGCTGAGATCTGCAAGTAATCCACAATCACTACTAGAAGGTATGCCTGGCTCACGTTGGGAAGAACGTGGTTTTGAATGTCTGGTGTCTGGCTTGCTGCCTCGCCGGCACGCAGCTCGCAGCTTCGTGGGGACGCAAATCTACCGCCCTGCTCTCGCAAGGGCTGCTGATTGCCTGTCTTTTCATAATTGGCGGACTTTCAAAGATTTATGCCGACAACCCTGGCGGAGCGTCAAAGGGACTCATATATGGCGATGTCGCAGTCATGTTCTTGTTCCAAGGATTCTATTCCATTGCCTGGACGCCCTTGCTTACTCTTTATCCCCCTGAAGTTATGGACTACCCAGCTCGAGCAAACGGTGTTGCGTTTTCGCAATTCACCCTCAATGGCCTGGCGTAAGTACTCTTGCACTCCTCTCTCCTTTTTGCTGAAACGGGCTAACGGCGGTAGGATGTTGCTCGTTTTCGTCATGCCCATCGGCCTCAATAATACCGGTTGGAGAATGTACATGATTAACGGATCATGGGACATTATTACGTTTCTCCTCATTGTAAGCTGACCGGGGTTATTATTTTCGACGGTGACAACGGCACTGATGTTGACTCTAGGCTGTATTTTGGGTTGAAACAAAAGGCAAGACTCTAGAAGAGATTGATGCTATTTTTGAGCGGGAGAGGCATTCATCTGAGCCTAATGTAGAGGACGTGAGAAAAGGAGAATAACTGTTGATGAGGCTCGGATGGAAAAGCAGTTGCAGCATCAGGGGGTTTGAGTGGGTGGAACTGTTCAGTGTTGACAAGTCAACATTGCAACAAGAAAGAAATATGTCCATGATCCATAATGAATGATATCCCCATTATATGTTGTTGGCTTCATACTTGATTTGAACGTGTCTCAATGAGAATGCATTATACCGTCGTTTCACTCGCCCTCTCGCCCTTTTACTCCTCCATGCTGATCGCCTGGTCCGTCACCGAGGTCGTCCGCTACAGCTACTTTGCGCTGTCGCTCGCCGGCGCACTGCCCTCGTTCCTGACCTGGTTGCGCTACAGCATGTTTTACATTCTGTACCCCATGGGCATCACGAGCGAGTGTATGCTAGTTTATGCGGCGACGGGCCCCGCGGCAGAGATGAGTAGCCTTGCGCCGTGGGCGCTCTATGCCGTTTTGGCTATTTACCTTCCCGGTACGTTTTTTACACTGAGGTGGTTGTCCTGGGCAGCGGTTTTTTTTTTTTTTTTTCTTTTTCTATTTTTCCGGCCACAATGTCGGGACCTGGAATCTATATCGAAACGGCCTTGCCATGGAATGTTTGCTAGTGAACACAGTGAATTAGGGACTAGAAACAGCGGTATTTATGCGAGCGGCTTCATTACTGGAGCGCTTTTATGCCATCTCCTTGTTTCGGGGCTAGTGTGGCTCACACGTTTGCTATATTACCTTGATATGTGCCCCTTTCGATACTCCAGAACACGCTAAAAGTTCACAAGGGAAGACAAGCTGGGTCCAACTCCGGTTCATGTGGATATGATGGGGATGCCACACAGTTGGACGAAGAGGAAGAGGAAGAAATGATCTTGGAGGGTGATTCTGTCTCTACTGGGCCCTCGGGGGCAGCATTTGTGGAAGCTGATAAACAATGAAGACTGTGGCCGGGACTATTCCACCATTTCATCTCATGAACGAAGGCTCTTATGCCCTCTTGATATATTTTAAACAAAGATGACCTTTGTAGCAACGCGAAGAGCTAGTATTGTTCTTCTGGTAGCAAAGTGGCGTTCTCTGAAGCCCCCACATTCTCACATTCATTGACCGATACATGAGCCCTAGATTGACTGCCTATATTTGGCCGACTTCTATTTACCTCTCACTATGATGCCTTAAATAGGGGCTGGGTTGGAAGGCGCCACTTTATAGTGAGTGACGGACTCCGTTTTGTCATTTGGCAAAGACTGATGTTTAGCAAACTGATACAACGGCGGGAACGGAGCAACGTCTCGTCCAAGGAAGTGCTTGTTAGAGTACCAGGGCAACTTTCGAAGGCAGTACCCGCCGTGCTCCCTGTTCTTCATACTAAACACACTGTCGAGCTCCTCCAGCATGAGATTCCTAGTCTCGGGCAAGAAGAAGTAAGCAAAGACCCAGCCCAAGAAGTTCCAAGCGGCGTACCAGCAAAAGGCGCCGGTATTGCCGTGGGCCTCTCTTAGAGACGGCCAGCTGAAGCTTGTGATGAAGTTGAAGCCCCATGTAATTGCCGTGCTGGACGACATGTCGATGTCGCGAATGTGCAGAGGAAATGCCTCGGCGCTGTATGTAAAGGGCACTGGTCCCTCGCCTGGCGAGTAGACAGCCATGAAGAGGTCTGGTACAAACCCGTCGTGACATAAGCTAACTGAGCGCGACCGGGGAAAAGCGAGAGCCCGGTAAACAGGAGACACAATGCCATTAGAGGAAAAGTAGTGAGCAGGAGGTTGCGGTGGCCAAAAGTATCGATGGTGTAGATGGCCGGAATGGCGAATATCCAATTGATCAAGCCCCCGGCATGGACGCCAGGAGAGCTTGAGAGCGATCGTAACCGGCATTTTGGAAGATGCTGGTAGAGTAGTAGGCAATGACGTTTACTAAAGATTTCCATCAGTCATGCTTGCCATGCTTCGGCGTATACACCGTGCCGCTATGAAAGTCTTACCTCCGCAGAATTGTTGCATAAACTAAGGGACAAGCAAGTGACGGAACACAGACTTTCCCTCCTGGTTGGGTGACTCTACGTCTGTTCTAGCAGGAGGCATTTTATGTTTTGATGGGGGTTTCTTGAGAGTCTGAGAGTGTAAGCCAATGTATGCATGCCACAAGATGTTTTCTACAGCTTATACAGACAACGACATGGACGCGGACTTGGTTGAACAGCCAGGGCTGCCACAAGGCGACAAAGGTATGGATTTTTAGAATTCGGATGATCTTTAAGGGAACCGGGAGACGGTTCCAATTGTCTACTGGTCTTTATGTCGCATAGAACCATGGAACCTGAAGCTCTGCGGAGAGACCACGGGCATGTGCTGTGGAGAGACGAACCAAGTGCTTGCATAAATCCCGTCCACTTCGCTCATCCGGTTAAGCATAATGAAAAGTTGCTCTACAAAGAACGCTAGGTGGAGGAAATAACATCAAGGTGGATGAACTTGAGTCTCGGCATCAGCGTGGTGAAGTGACTTTGATGGCAGTGATAGACGCCAAGAGTTGCCATAAGGAAGTTACAGGTTGACCACGCCCAACACCATCATCACCAACACATCAACACATCAACCGGCACAATGATGCAAGGTAGACAGCATAGAAGTTGACCACTGATGCATGCAGTAACCTCAAGTTATGATTGAGAGTACCTCGCCATCGTTTCTTGAGGGTATTCCCAAAGTACTAGCAACTAGGGTTTGGGATAGTAGACACGCTCTTGCAAAACACTCGACAACGAACTAACTAATGTAACCACAATGATCAAGTCAGATCGGGCCACCCACTCCACAGTCGGAGCGCAATTCACGCTGATCACTTGAGCATCCCTCCAATTTCCATCCACGTCTTTGTTGATGAATGCCAAGCTCAACTTCTCCAACACGCCAAGTACAAAGGCCCACGTCCGCCGAGAACAGCGGTATATTTTGAAACAACATTTTGGAGCAGTCAGGTGCCAAAGAATTATGCTGCCTAATCCCAAGCTTGACACATCAAGGTTGTTTGTTGCACAGGGCTCTGATGTCCCCAGTGCCGAGAAGCTTGGCCAATCTTCCGTGGCTTGGCGAGAGAACAGGCGGCATGCCACAACAGGCTTGATTCGATTACGGATCGAGGTCATGGCGTTCCGGTAGCGGGAGGCCATTCATGATGTGGATTGGTCTGATCCAGCTTCATTGATCGTGATGGCTGGTTTAATTTATATGGCCCAGAGATGGACGGGTGCACTCCGCTGTGCCCCTGGACCTGACAGTCAAAGGGCTGAATCCCTTGACAAGGTCAAATACGACTGATTTCGATGAAAGTTGTTATCCGAGCAATGCTGGCGTTGTGTTACTGTATCAATAAGAACGAATCCCGTTCTGAATTCTGGGAGGGCCATGGCAACTGGACCCTTTAAGTTACCCGACAGATAGCTAATCACCGTATCAGGGTTCGTTTCGAGGTGCATCCGTAGACTTTGATTTGATGATTTAAATATCGCTGGCTCATTCATCGAGGTATGTAGTCAGTATGCCCGTCTCGTATGTATATGTGATTGCCACAGGGTTGGGCAACTCAAGAAGCCCTATAGGCTTCGTCATTGCTTGCCACTCCACGCAGGAATCGGAGCCAAAGTCTTGCCTTGATACCTAGATCATTCATGTACATCGCTACCAATGTGAATATACCAATACGTCATACTCCGTCGACATGTTTTGTCCCAGTGATGAAGGCTCTGTTTCGGGACTTGGCATGGTAACTCATCCAATGTGATAAATCATTTCTTACGTGTAAGTGTAAAGATGTATTCTGTTGGTTCTGAGCTCGTCTCGTGCCGTTGTGAACAAAACTCGCACGTCATCATTGGACCACCCTCCCATTCTGGTGAACAGGGCAAGACTGTAGGCTTCAAGGGCCATGCCAAGGAATTGCACGCGGAACCACTGACCAACCTCTTTAAGAGCAGGGTCCTTGGGCCAAGTCCCAAGAGGCACAACCTTTTGGGTGTAAGCAACGTCTACAAATCCCGCATCCTTCAGCATATCAGGAATTTGAGGGGCGATATCGTACCCCGGAGGCGTTGCAGGTAGTCTGAACTCAGTGAGCCACCTGTAAGTGGCCGTGTCCTCGGGCAGCGAATCGTCGTCGCAAAAGAAATTGGCCCGTCCTTCAGATATTTCAACTTTTCCGCCTGGTTCAAGATATTTGAAGCATTGTCCTAGGAGTCCGGCAAATCTTGAATAGCCCCTGCTAGGGTCCTTGCGTGGATAAAATCGAAGTGTCCGAGAGGAAATGTCCCCTCCAAGGTCGCATCGTCTATTCGAACATTTGGGGAGACCCTGTCCAACTATCAGCCAATGCCTAGGCGACCGTTTACTCGCAGCACGCGAGGGATACAGACCACTCTAGTTGGATTGGACTCAAATCTGTTCCAATGACCTTAGCAGATGGATACAAATCACCCGTCTCTATTGCCTGGAGAGGAAAGATACCTTTTGTTAGCTTGTCTCCCAGATGATGGCATATAGACTGTAGACAGAGAAAACACGTTGCACATGCCCACACCCCTGTGCCTGTCCCAATGTCTAGGGTTTCCTGAGGATGATCAGGCTTGGTTACACACAGCTCCCCGTTTAGTGTCAACCGAAGTATATGATGTGTCATGTCTAATCGGTCTTGCTCTGTCTCGTCATTCGGAAGCAAATACTACCCGGTTCGATAAGCATGGTATCGTCTGCCATTCTCATATGTGTACTCGAAAATGGACGATGGCAAACTCGTCGTTTACGATGCCGCCTCTAAATAGTCCGAGTATAAATCACCAGCCGCCTCATCTGACTATTTAAGCAAGGGTGTTAGCTTAAGCTTGCTACTGTAGCATACACACCTTTGGCCTCGGCATTATGAATATTAAATCAAGCTGATATATATCCCCAGGTCCTCAGAAACGCTGGATGCTTGGATTAATGGATTGTACTCACTTCCGAATCCACCTGTATGGGGACATTAGCTTCATCTAAAGGCGACGAGGGCAACCCGGCGCCCTTAGAGAAATCCGACAAGCCCCGTCCTGTCTCGGCCTCCGTCCATGGTGCCGGATTTGTTGGAATGCTGGACGGAACATACAAGGGTGGTAAAGGGCATATGCGGTGCATGCCGTAAAGTAGAGACCTCGAATTATAATTGCGACGAAACAGCAAGTTTACCGTCGTGCCACGGCGATCGATTTGGGCTTCAATATACGGCTGAATAGGCATCAAGCCACAATGGTCATGTGCGACCCGGTTTACGTAGCAAGCAAGACGACAATATTCTTGAGGGGTGAATACAAAATACTGAGTGCCGGTTGATCTGGAAAAATATGCAGTGAGCTAGAAAAGTTCGCCGATGACTGTACTGTGGGAGACCAGCCTTGTCCAAATGAAGCGGGCTCTCGGCAACCGAACCGGTACGTTTTGGCAACCGCTTCCAAACGTGAGGATGCGATGTTCAGGTCCTAGTGATGACAAGTATCAATGATATCCGGAGCGCACGTTCACGAGGGATCGCGTCCCTGTTGGTAAGGAGACGAGGGATACAGATTACGCGATGGTCAATACCAGACACGTTAGGCGAAAACAACATGAACATGACCCAAATATAAGTGTCAGTTCAGGAATCCCAACCGTAGAAGGAGCGGAGGGTCTAAAGAAGCATTGAAATAGAGCACATTTACATGCAGACGGAGGAGGAGAGGATAACAGGAGGGTCGCTGGCCAATATCTAGTTAGGTAGACGGAATGAAGGATCTCACACTCGTAAGTGCATCAGATACAATAATACATACATATTCGGTATCCAATTACGTGACTCCCCTTGCTGTCCCTGAAGCGCTCAGTGAGATGAAACAACGGCGATTGGCGTTGTGAGGAAATCCGTCCCCGAAAAAACCACAACTTCTCTGGCCTTCGCTTCCTCGCAGATTAAACCATTAGCGGCTTCCATATTAGAGCGCCTTGCTTGCTTCGGATGTTTCAACTTTGGCGACCAGCTTGGTGGACTTTGTGAACAGAGTGTATTCCACGTTGGGTTGAAGCTGCAATGCGTCGAAGGGCCGAATGGTGATTTGGCAGACTGGCCATCCGATCACCACATGCTCCTTCAAAATTCAATATCTTTGTACTCACATGTCAGGCATGCCTGATCAAGTGTCCGCATTCGTCGAGGAGGTGAACTTGCTAGTATTAGGGGGCTTATCAATCAACACTCAGCTTGGGATAAACGGGCAATTTATCATGCCGGGACGTTTCCGCCCCGTTAACAGGATATTCCAACAGGTGGTTTTTTTTTTTTAAGATAAAAATTGACTACTCGATGAAGCGGTCGAGTTGACCGCAATAAAACGTTACCAAGACCACACCCAGAACGGACACCTCGGATTCCAACACAATATCCTCATTTCCAAGTAGCCTCGATGTATCCCTCATTGGGCTGGGCAACATGGGCCTTGCCATAGCCAACTGTTTGATCAAGTCTGGTGCCAACCTCGCAGCTTGGAACCGTTCCGTTTCAGGGGCAGATTCATTGCTCAGACGTGGCGTTACTATGGCCGCATCGCCAGCAGCCTGCATTGCTGCCAGTCCAACTATAATTACATGCCTTATCTCCCAAGAAATTACCAAGAGTGTTCTGGAAGACGTCGCAAAACTTGCCGGGAAGACCATCATCAACTTGGCCAACTTCACCAACTGCACGCCTGAGCAATCTCGCCTGATGGCCAACCTTGTTCAACATCGCGGACCAAAATCCTATATTCACGGCGCTGTTATGGTCCTTCCCGTCCTTTGGGCCAGCCGTCATCAGTCATACTCATATTTGGACCTCTGAACACATACGAGTCACATGCAGTACTTCTATCTTCCATGGGGGGAACAAGACACGTCTCTTAAGATGTCTTCAAAGCATCGCTCCTGGATAACGCGCTCCTTGCCATCATGGATGGCTTGTTTGAGGGTTGGCCTCAAGCGCTAGGCATTATTGGCAAGACGGGTGACGATGAAGTCAAATTTGCGACTTTTGCGTTGATTCCACTTGTCAAGTCCACGGCAGACTGGTTACCCCGGGTTGCAGGGCAAGTTAGTGAAAAGGAGTGTGTGGGAGGATCGCAGTTGACGATGCAGCTGGAAGCGTTGGAGAACATCGCAGGGACGAGAAAAGAGCTCGGGGCCGGTGTCTTATTCCAGAGTTTGAGAGATGTAATGAAGGAGACAGTAAAGGTTAGAAAAGGAAGAGAGGGTATTGCGGGCTTGGTACCAATGCTAACTCGGTTTGAGAAGAAACGGTAATCGATGAGCGGGTGTTAGTTATGATGTACCGGAGATTCATGAGTGAAAATCGCCGACGCTAGACAGTCACACACAGAAAAAGGATTTCACTTCCGTGTACTTTTCTTAATCTACAGCTCTTCGTGTTCCTTCGCTTATATGCCTACGCCTCTGCGTTGTTCATCGCAGCCTGGATTCACTGTGGCACAGAATGATTATCCTTCCGATTCACCAACATTCCGTGCACGAAGTAAGCAGTCACAGAGAGCGTTGAGGCCGCGGGCAGCCATCCATAGTCATGGCTCGATTTGATACGTGGTCATTAATTACATGGCCAACTACAGCAATTATGCGCTGGCTCCGTTTGCCAGTCGTACCCGTGGTACACAAGGTCGACAATGTGCATTTGTTCAAAACAGCGTCCATGCGACATTCACTGCGTCAACATGATACTTTGGTTTCATTCTTCTCGCTACAATCTTTTCTTACCTTTGAGCTGCACATCACAACTTGAACAGTTCTTGAGCACCTCAGCGATCCGACTTGACCACACCCGCAGCGACATATATAAAGCCCTTGCCACGCCCGCGCGATAGCACCAACCGCTCTCTCATGTGAGGTGTTACAGCATCCAAAGAATGATAGATTACTATTTCCTCGAAAGATGGAGCAGCAGGATCCTCATGACGATCTCAGCCCCTTGGCCGATTTAACATCGGCTGCGCACGAACGGATGAGCTACGTGAGGGCGCAGGGAACTCGACGACTATCACGCCGGGCCGTTCTCAATAGGTCGTTGAGTCTTGGTCGCACGAGTTTTGAGCCCGTAGTACCGTCGCCCTTGGGCCAGCCGAGTTGGAATCAAGACAGCGTGCCCACGCCGGAGGGTTCGCCGGTTGAGCCGCACGGCGACGACGATGGACCGCGCCTCGATGAAGGATACGACAAGGAGCCAGTCATATTGCATCCGGCAGGCCTAGAAAGAGTTTCTCCCGAGGTTTGGGCCCGTTGGTATGTCGAACAGAGAGACGATGCGCCAGCTCAGTCTGCCAGCGTTACAGAAAGGTCAGCGTCTCCGATACAGTTGCTTTCGGAATCTTCAGATCCAGACTTTACGAATACCTCGTTTCCATTCTTCTCTCCACGGGAGCCTATAGCGCCGCCTGCAACGTCACCTGCCGCCTCGACATCCTTCCTAGATTCACCGCCGTTGGGGGCCTCCAGTACCGATTCGCCACGACTTCCTTCGCCGTCTCCCACCACTTCCAATACCTCCGGCAGATGGACAAGTATTAATACTCCATCGACGTCCACTGAGCGGAGTAGGTCTCCGGGGTATAGTATTGGGCGACCAGCTTGCCCAGCGCCAGAGAGCAGCTCAGAAGACCTATCTTGGCTGTTGTAGCATCTGCCACAGGGCTCCGACTCGGGTGAGGGTTCTTGTTGAAAGATTGCTGGACATATGGTGGAGGATGTTCTCTATATTTATGATGATTTGATATTTTCAGCAACATAGACAAGGAAGCGCAAGCAAATGAGGCAGTGGAAAAGTGAAATGCAGACCTAGACAGTTCTCAACTCACCATCAAGTAGAAGCAAATCAACCCACCGCTCTTATAGTTCCCAAACAACCATCTCAGTGTCTCAGTTCATGTCAGTTGGGGGGAACGAATACTTTGTCTTCCACTGTTTTCGCATGTCCTGTTGCCCATCAACCCGAACGTTTGCCATTTCTCGCATTTCCACTGCTGTGAGAAATGCAAACAACAAAACCGCGAGCAGAAACGATTTCTCATACAGTAAGCAGTAATCACACGTCATCTCCAGTGATAATTAGAAGCGCACGAGCACTTGGCAGCGGAACGATCATGGTCAAAACTCCACAAATGACGTCCACGCCCCCTTCTTTCATGCAAAATAAGGCGCTTGCATTAAAGTTGTAGTTGCGAATTAAAACGCATGATAGCCCCAATTTATGCTGGCGCTCTCGACGTTCTCGGCTCTTTTTGGCCGCATTGTGCCGCCAACACCCCGACAACAAAGTCAAGTCAAATCCGAGTCGCATTTGCCGCTTCCGAGGACACTGCACAATCCGGACAATCTGTAAAGGAGCCAAACAGGCCCTGATGCGGCAGGTGGAAGCTACGGAATCGGATCGGGCGCTGTCATCGAGTGCTTATGCCACGTATGGAGAGTTTCCATGTAAGTGGATTTGCATGTCAAATCCCCAACCCGCGTCTCGATGGAAATTTGATTGACAAAGTTGTGAAGAAAAACTGTGTTAGGAACTAAGTCTTTGCGTATCTTCAATTACGGAAATAAGCATCATTCAACAATCCAGTCGCTCGCCCGTTAACGTGGACTAGTTACTATCTAGATACTCTATAGTAATTGGTCTGCGATGGCGCATGTTCCACGAGAAATTACCCCAAGAATCTTGGATACTAAGCTCCAAATCAAGTTTTGCAGGACATGGCCGTCTGTAAGCAACATGATGCTTCCTCGCTGCCCTGCTGAAAGATTCCTCCGCCGGCCGCAAGTGCCACCATGTCAGTAGCAAGCGCTGGATGCTGCATCACAACACTTGGAAGACTATGCCATATGGCACACAACTTTCCCATACACCGGTATTCTTAGTACTCAGTCAGTCTAGGCAAAAGCCCGTTCCCCCCGTATAAATCTCATATCCCCACACGTCGACAACACGCCCACAACTCTGGGGAGACACGTCCAAGCCAAGATTCTGGGCATCTCAAACTCCCCGAAATCAAGAATCTAAAGGAAATCATCATGATCCTCGTAATTCCAACGGTCCCCGAGGAGATCTCCGAGCCTCACTAGTCGATTAGTATATCCCGCCGTGGCTTAGGCGTCCCCGAGAGTACCTCGAGCCACTTCGTCTCGTTCGCGGCGGTGTGAACCCGGGATGACCCGGCCTCGCCAGCCCCTTGAATAACAGAGTTTCATAATCTTCTGTCAAATTACCCCAACCGGGGGTAGTTGTGTGGGGGACGTAACCGATCATAATTTGTGTGGGCGATGTGATGACAGATACGCCCGTTTTGGATCTAGACGGTGGGCTGGGTGTAGAGAGGTTAATTGTAGGCTGATTTAAGCTTGTTCTGTCGGAGAGGTGGAAACTGAGCTGGTCTTTTAATACGTGAATGCGAGAGTCTTGAATGCAGTTTTGTAGTTACCAACTGTGCTTGGGCGGTCAATACGAGCACCGCTAAGAGATGTTCAATCTTTCTCGAGAACATTAGTACCATGAAGTCGCAAAATGGTATTAAGCATCCAAATTCTTCACTTGTGAACCATTCAATCTAAACTCATATCATGCTATGGCAAAAAAACAAAACGATGGTATCATAATCTACGCAATGGTCTTCCTCTCCTCAATGTGCTGTCCAGCACCGTGGGTCTCGCCTGCAATGCGCTGCTTCTCATTATAAGCCATGTCCTGTTGTTCCGCATCCCGGTTACCATGCAGACCAATCTTATACCAGGGGAGATCGAACAGGCGATCCATGCTCTCGAGGCTGCGACCGCTGGTCTCGGGAACAGAGAACCAGACCCAGACGCCTCCCAGAATAGTGACTGCCGCAAAGCACCAGAAAGTGCCCATGGGTGAGATGCCACCGTCAGAAGTAGGAAGCAGCATATTGGGGACAGCGCGAGAGTTGCCGTACTGGTTGGCGAAGTGGAGGGTCATGGCCCAGGAGGTAGCCAGAGCACGAATTCTCAGGGGGAACAACTCTGCAGTCAGCAAGTACTGCATCGAGTTCCATCCAAGAGCCCATCCGCAGCCCGAGACGTAAATCATAGCAATGGCTCCACGGCTGGCGGGGACCTGGGAGGCAGGCAGGACGAAGTGTTTAACAGTGCCAAGCTCAGGAACAGCCGTCAAGAAACCAGCGACATAGATCATGGAAATAGCTTGCAGGGTGATGCCTGTGAGCAGCGCACGCTTTCGGCCAATCACATCCACCAGGAAGAGGGCACAGACTACTGCTGAAATAAACTTCACGATACCAAAGACAGCAGTGACAAGAAGGCCCTCTTCACTACCGGTAATGCCGAGAATCTCGAACAGATCTGGAGCGTAGAGAGTGATGGAGCCAGCGCCGGACCATTGAGACAGCAACTGGACCATGGTGGCAAGGTATACACGGTAGAGGTTGCTCTTGTCAAGGAACATCTCCTTGAGCTTGCCAGCCCAACCAACCCCTCTTGCGGCTTCGAGCTCATGGTCCAAGGCGGCTTGAATATTTGCGATTTCGCGCGTAACGTATTCGCTGTCGGGTGCCTGCTTGCGCAAACGAGCCATGACATGAGTAGCCCTCTCATTCTTGCCCTGTTTGACGAGGAACCGGGGAGATTCGTACTGGATAAAGGTCAAGACGAAAATGATGCCGGCCATGGTGATGTGCAAGCTTGTGGGGACGAGCCACTGGTTGTGGCTAGTGTTGGCAATGTTGAGCCTACAGCCATAGTTGGTGAAGTATGCCAGGACGATGCCGAGGTAAACAGCACCAGTGAAGAAACATGTGCAAAGGCCTCGAATGGAAGCGGGCGCGACTTCGGCAATATAAATAGGGCTATTTCACAAATGGTCAGCAAGCAAATCCATACACACAGACATGAATCTCTTCCGACAGGGCTGCCCGCCCGTTATGTGTCAACTGGTGGAATGTGTGGAGGAGGCTGAGCACCTCAACACCACGAGCCCAAGACCGCAGGAAAAGGAAGGCGTCAACTGGTCTGGTTGCAACTTACCCCACGACAGGGGTCTGTCCCACGCCAAGGCCTGCAATAAATCTCCCCGCATAGATGGCGCCAAGATTGCCATTGACACCTCCGACCATGAAGATGATGATGCCGACGACCCAGAGGACACAAAGGAACCGAGTGGCCATGATGCGGCCGATGCGGTCGCACACAAGGAAAGCACTGTGGTTTGTCAAAATGTCAGCCAATGCGCACCACCAAAAGGCCAACTGGTCCATTCTCCTTTTCAAAAACTCTCGTGTGGTACAACAGCTCACGCGCACATGACGCAAACCACGCAAGCCAAAGGGACGCGGATACGTACAGCAAAGCACCAGCGACGGAACCAATTTGCACCATGGCCGAAACATTGGCCTTGATGTTGGCTTGCTCGACAGCAGAGAAGGACTTGTAGTGAATAGTTGACTGGAAATCAGGCGAGTTGAAAGCCCCGGAGATGAGACCCTCATCAATACCACGAGCAGCACCGAGAAGACCAAAGGACACCACAGCAAACCACAGGCGCCAATTGAAGACCCCTTTTGGTTCCCCAAGGTCCCCAAGGCGGAAGATGTTGACAGGTTTTTTCACGCCGCCTGCCATGGTGCTGCGGTGCTTTGGGTAGGCTCTTGGTTTATGAGACGAGTGTGAGGCTGGGGCATAGGAGAAACTAGAATCACAGGGACTCTTTCTTGGCAAGACGCAACGAAGAACGGTGCATGCAGCGGCAGGCAGGCGGGCGTTGCGACCTTCATATATGCATGTAAGTTGGAGGAACTTTCTGGGGTCTGGGGTTCCGCGTTCTGGGGTCTGGGGAACGAAGCAGGGCCGAATGACCAAAGTCGCAACCCAAACCGTGGAGACATGAAAAAGCCGGAGTGGACATATTTGCTCCGTACCCTGGCCTATTTTCTCAAGCGGCAAACCAGGTCCAGAAGCTCATATTGCCGGCTGAGAGAGGGCCAGCAGCCATGGTACTCCTAGTTTCTGCTCAATACCCGAGCCGGCAACCGGGTATAGCTTCAGCCACCGTAAGAGGGCCGAATCAAAGGGATGGAGTAAGCACACGAAAATGTCCAGGATGCTCAGGTAAACGGTGCACACGATGTTGGGGAGCGGCTTTTGGATCATGAGAGACGTTCTGGAGGGATCGGGCCATTGATGCACCGACAGAGGCTTGTTTTAGTACTAGTATTGGGCAAGGATCCAGGTGCTTTGCTCGTCCAGTGTCGGTGTGTCCATATGCTGAGCATACTTGTAAGGAACTCTAATCACGGCATCCCAAGGGGCTGCCGATTTCGTGGCGGCGCCGCACGCGATTGTGCGAGCATGGTTCATGATCCGCCGGCATAGGGCCATAAGTCCACTCCGAGTTGGCCAGCTGACTCAAAACAGATAAGAGGGCGAATTACCAACAATGGTATTCGCAGAGAAAACCCACATAGAACTCGGACAGCAGTCCGGCGCGCCACGCTGGTCTGGTGGGTCGAAGCATGGTGCGTTCTAAATGTCCATTCCAATGAATTGAATGCATAACTTACTTAACTGGCAGGGCAGCCGAGTCGGTGACTGTTTGTCTCTTTGTTCACCTTCACGCCTAGGGTTGTGGGCTTCCACGAGGCGGGACACACTGCAATGTGACTCTGGTCCTGGTGACAACGTTTTACATTGGTCAACTCGTGTGTCTTCTCCAATTTTAAACATTAGCTTTGCTGTCAGATATCAGATGAAGGGTGTCAGAAGAAGGGTAAACCCCGGAATGAGTGGTGATCTGCCAGTTATCTCCAGAGGGCTCCCCATGGACATCTCGTCGTATTTTTTTCGTCGTTGATATTTCCTGGTTGTCTCCGCACCATCCCCCATCTTCACTCCCGGGATACCCAACCCAGACAACCAGACCGACGCCATTCTACACTAGACTGCTGCTTTCAAATAGTCGCATGGATGCTCCCCACGTTGCCAAGCGCTCCACGAAAAAGCCCTCCGTTTTGGAGGCGGACTCGAGGTGACGATCCGCACCACCACCGTCTAGGCCCTCGGGCATCGCAGGCCGCCGTCGTCAAGGAAGTTTACATCTCAGCCAACGTCCCACATCCAGATCTGTTGTTGGCCAGCAAATATAACCCTCATCCCATCTCCGCCAACAGGGCGCGCACAACGCAGTCATTGCCCTGTCTCACCCATGACGTTATTGAAAATTGCGTGCGGCATGTGGATTGCCGATGAGTTGTGTGACCAGTTTGCCAGTTCTGACCCCCGGCCCCAGGTTTTCGAGGGGAAGTTGGTTTGCCCACAATCCGACAATGCTTGAACCCTTCGAAAACCACCAATCACTTCAGAACGAACGATGTGAAGCCCTAGTGCTCGAATGGTGCCACCGCCGGGCTTGGTGCGTAATGGTGGTAAGTCCAGGACAAGCACAACCAATGGTCCGTATCACCTTGGCTCGCTGTCGCAGCCTTCGAGGGTGACAATCACCGCTTTCCATGTTATCAAATCTGAAAAGCAATAGTTGCAATTCCGGCGCAATAAGTTCATGGCGCACAACAATATTGCATCATACGCTGCACGGAAACTTCCGATGTGCTTCACTGCGATTCCTTGATGCCATTCATGTTGTTCTTCCGGATGCATTGCCTTTATTCGAGATGACTTCTCATCAATGATTTGGACAGCATCGTTTCGTGTGCGGAATACCTTCGTTGGTTGTTAATAGTCGATTCGTATATCCAGCTATTAGATAGCGATAGTAGCAAATATTGATGTTTAATTTGGATCGTGAAGATAGAGTACCAAGTATCTGACCATGTAATGCCCAGACTTGAGCCGCATCCATTGCCTGCTAGTCATCACTTTGGTTGGATGATGATCCCGTACGCCATCACAGATGCCGTCGAGCAAGCCGCCAAGTCGCCAAGTTTTTCAGGAACAGGCAGCAGACAGAACCGCTTTTTACCCCTCTTGCTTGCTGTCCCGTCGCGGTTCAAATTCAGGCCAAGTCTATCCGACTCATTTTCGCTAGTTGCAGGGTTCGTGGTTGCAAATATACCTCGCCAATTCAGGGTGTCTTTGAGTCGGCATTCGTGTTGTGTCCGGTAACCTGACCTTACCGCCATTTCATATATACCAGACACTCCAAACGAGCCGCTGAACTGATTCTTGTATTGTCATACAACATAAAATGGTTTTGCCAATGATACGGTTCCGGACGCAACAGATGCAAGGATCCCTATGCCCCAAGACACTGCCACGTGATGCCGTGATTCACGTTCGTTCCCCTGAACGTGCAGCTACGTCCAATATCGTGCCCAGATATCATGCTCCTTCTTTGTTCCAAGGAACTTGAACTCTAATTCCACTATGTCTTGAAACCCCTCCCTGCTTTGGGGTGCTTTATATCTCGAGGCGAAGCTTGTAAATGCTAATTTTGGTAAGCGTTGCCTTGCTTCCGGATTCAACGACTGATTGTGAGCTCGAACTGCATCATTGTGCTCGCAAATATGAAGCGGTGTCCTGAACCAAACACATCGGATGGGAACCTTAGCCTTGGACGCAATATCCACCCACAATGCGCGTGTTTCAGGGTCAGCATTCGTATTATCTAGCACTTTGTCAGCTCAGTGTAGGACAACAATCGAGGACCGTAATGCACACCCACCAACAGCGACGGAGCTTCCCTCAGACAATAGCTCCTTAGCAACCTGAAGACATTTGTCTCGGCTTTTAAGAGAGTCCTGGTTGACTCTCTCATACCCTAATGGCTTGAGATACCTCCAAAAGAATGTGCTCTTTCCAGCTCCCGGTGGCCCACAGAATAAGACAACATCCTTTTCATTCTTCCTTTCGAATACATTGCAAGGTCCCTCAGACAAAGATACCGCCTCGTCAAATGGAAATTGTGCGACGTCAAAATCTCGAGCAAAGTTCCTTGGTTCTTCCCCCAAAAAATATTCCTCTGGAGTTCTATAAGCAATTCCCACGTTGTAGGCAAAGTTTCTATCTGAGCAGCTGAAGTCTTTGGCTTTTGCCACGACGCCGTCACTACCAGAACCGCTGAGACCAGCAACTCGACCGCCCGCATCACCCACGAAGAAGCTGTGTTCCAAGTCCACCTCATTTTCTGGAATGTCGTAGTCCTCGCAAGCTTCCTTCCACATTCCTGTGTTAGGTTTCCTGTAAATATCCCTTTCGGTTGCGGCGTAAACACTTATTGGGATGTCAAGACTATTGAGAATAGCACTGCACTTTTGCTTGAATTCGCTAACCCGCTTCTGGGCATTCGCCTTCGGGCCTTTAAATGATGGATCGAAATGCAACGTCATTCCGCCCTGGTTGGATAAAATGACAACTTGATAGTCCTTCTCCTTGTATAATTCTTGGAGAATCCCAGGAACATGTGGATGCCACCACTTCCAATCTGTCGCATCACTTGCATGTTTCTTTCCAGAGCTAGTCGTGATCAATGTAGAATCCAAGTCGAATGCTGCGATTTTTCTTCTAGGCTTCTTTCCGGAATTGTGTGCCACAGGTACATATCGACCAACTAGCAATGTAGCAGGTATATCGTCGTTCAGACCGCGTTCAGACCAAGTCGTTCGATCCTTGGGCTTTTGTGAAGTTGGGGTAAAAAAGTTGGCTACCGCTGACTCTAAGTATTTCAGTCAGTGAATCTTTGTCACCAGGCATGTATGTATATGAATACCTACTAGTCGTTGTGCTCTGCAGAGACCGTTTGATAGGAGGGGGCGAAATTGGTTCTTCCCCAGCCTTCCGTTTGCTAACAGAATGTGGCGGTGCCATGCTACAAAAAGTGCTCCCTTGCTAAGTACCATATGGCTAAGCTTTACGCCAACTATAATTGCAGTCAATCGGTGGCATTACAGCAGGCCAATGTGGTACAGGACAAATGTGCTTCCAAAAATGCAGGATGCGCGCGGGCAAATGGCTGCACGCGAGACGCTTAACGCGCGATCACGTGCTAGGTGGGCAGGTAAATTGCCCCACAATAGCGTGAAACGTTCGCGATCTGATCTTCATAATGATTTAACGCAGCCGAGGGCGAATTCGTGCAAAGCGAGAACATCTATCAAATTTTCCTTTGTTAAGACTAGCGTTTGAGTTTTGGAGCAGGCCTTATTCCTAAATTGTCGACTCAGACGTGACTCCTTCGCCAGGAATACGGCACCTCGGTACTTAAGGCTGCCTCTTTGATAGATCGTCCTCGCGTACTCCGTATACCCAGCACATCGCCATCTTCTTCATAATGTACGAACTATTCCTTACAGCCTTGGTTGAAGACAAGGACTTCAACGCAGCATGTGCTGTCCTAAGTGGCTTCTGTGCCATGTCACCCTGGGAGACTGTGAACAGGGTGCTCTACTTGCAGGGCCCCCCAAGACCTAGCGGCATCACAAACCAGTCATCCATTGATAAGCCCCTACGAAAAGACCTGGCATTACTATGGAAAGAGCTTCATCAAAGCCTCAGCCGCCAGTCATGTATCCTTCAAGTTAGATACGAGATTGTAAAGGACCGAGACATGGGTCCCTCTTCGGCACCTATGGATTTGGACAGCATGCCTGGTGTATTGCGATGGGCAGATTTCCCAGATCCTCCCCATGGAAGACCATTGCTTACTCAAAGGAAAATGGTGGAAATTTGGGAGCAAAAGAAACTACTGCCAATCATGCGAGATAATAATTATAGGTATGCAGGGTCTCAGGTTAGAGTGACTCCGCCCAGCTGACATACGCCAGGTTCAAAACCGAAATACTGGAAGAAAATTACAGGTTTTTTCGAGAAGAAATAGAGTTCTGTCTTACTCGGCAGTATTTCCTGAGACCGATTGGCGATTATGCGCCATTGGAGTCCAGAGGTGGCCAGCAACCAAGTCCTCTCGCATCACTACCAGCTTGGGATGCTGTAACCCCAGTCGACATGCAAAATCGCTGGATACTCCTAGTCAAATCCCATGTTGTCCAAGACAATAAACCAGACGACATAAAAATAGCCCAAGATCAATTGTTATCGATTCGGCTAGAGCTAGAGGGGGCATTTGACTTCAAGACAATTGACCGCAAGGTTCATGATACCCGGATTGCCCAACAGCAACAAGGGATTCAAGCCTTGCCCCAAAAGGTCATGCTAGGCAAGAGTTAATACTAACTACAGGAGAACCCTGACTACAATTAGTTCTCCGTGGCGCCTCCAAGTTATAGCAACAGCTGGTTGTGCTCATCAGTTAAATCATGTTGCATGGGTCGGATTGCTCCATGCGATATGATTGATGCAGCTGCCCTAAAAATTACCTCGATCTAGAAGATATCTCCAGAACGGCTAACTCAGTGGCCATCAAGATCACAGGGGGCTTCAAATAGCACCCCGCCAATTATACCAGTTATGAAAAGGCCTTATTGGCAGTAAAAAACGTAGATAGGATTTAAATCATTATCGTGTCAAACCAGTTCAGCTCATATTCTTCACTCGTCCGAATTTTCAAGCATTTAATAACACACGCACCAGGGAAATACTCTGTAAAAGTCCTGGTCTTCGCAAGAGTCGTGTATGCCTTGATTGGTACCTTCCGACTGGGCGAGCGATTCCCGAGATTTCAGTCAACAATTTGAACCTACGAATCCTCAGTGTGTATCAGAGTCGGATCTTGATCATCTTCAGCAACAAAAATCCCGTCCAGCTATTACGAAGAAGATTCCAGCTTGTATTCGGTTGGCGGCAAGAAGATTGACTCTCCTCAACGACGCCCACATTGGTGGTCTCCCCCGGGTAAGGAAGGAGGGGGGGTTGGTTGAGAATTGATGGGAGATTTTGACACTTGAGCTGTAAAATTTCTTCAAGATACGCCAAACCACGGTGCTTCACTTAACCCATCACTCCTCCATTGAGCAACCATCCTGGACAGTTTACAAAAGTCTACCAAACGTGGCCCTTGCTTTGTTTTATACCAATCACATTGATGTTTCGCCAAATCATGACCGCAACGAGGCCAACAACCCAAATTGACGTGCCTACAGCCAGCATCCTCATCTGAGCGTCCCCATACGCATGCTGAATCGCCAGACGTGCCGGGGACGCCACTGGATAAGACAGTTGGGTCGAGATATTTGCATATATTTTTTCCAGATTAGGGAGCTCCTCAACAGGAAGATACGCCCTCAGCTTATTAGGAAAGACACTTTGCCAGATTGCAGAGGCAATGGTCAGGCCGACGGCACCGCCCATGTTGCCAAACATTCCCAACACTGCGAGACATACAGCGACGTGTTGGTGTGAAGCAGCCGCCAGAATGGCGACTTCGTCACAGACCATAATAATGCCGGCAGCAATGGAAATGAAAATCTGGCACATGATGATGTAACCAACACTGCTTTGCATTTTGCAGAAGTACATCATTGAGCCCGAACCGAGGATGCTGAGCGGGATTCCAATATAAAGACAGACTGGTTTAAACCGTCCAGTGTAGTGAATCAAGGCGCCGACCATGATGCCGCACAGAACCGAGCAGACTGTGTAGGACTGTACGACATAGCTAGCGTTTTCGACGTTGAGGTCATTAACAACTTGCAAGTACGAGCTGAAGAAGCTATTCCAGCACCAGAAACTAACAAATAGCGTAGCAGACAGAATACAAGCCCCTAAGACAGTACGGTCAAGGAGCAAGGGAAAGGGTAGGAGAGTGATAGAGGCATAATATCTCTCCCAGATGGCGAAGGCAATGATGAGAAGAAGGCCAATAGACGGCATTGCGACGACAAGCGGAGAGTTCCAGCCTTGAAGTGTATATACGTTGAAGGGCATAAGAAAGACAGCGACACCCGCCGATAGCAGAGCGAGGCCCACTGCGTCAAACTGCCGAGAGTAGTAAACGAAGGATTCCAAGCCGGTGAGGTCACTCTCGCTGTCGCCTTTTGCCACAAGGCCTAGCTCCTTGGCTTTTCGAAAGTTGATCCATAGAAGGCCGAAAAGCGGGAGCGTAATAGATGGCACGAGAATTGTAAACAATCCAAACGCCCAACGCCAGCTAGATCCTTTCAGGAACGCAGAGGATATCGGGCCAGCCAGCCAGCACGTAATCAAATTCGGAGAGCTCACGATGGCCTGCATGAGACCCCGATTGCGCAGTGAAGAGGTATCGGCAACGAAGACAGCCAGGCTGTACAAAATGCCGTTGTTTCCAACTACTTGGAAGACCTGGGCGATGGCGTATGCCTGGACACTGCGGCATAGGGTCATCATGATGAGCCCAGCCATGGCGACAGCTATGCAGAAGAGGTATCCCTGAGGCCGACCAAAGACGTCGAGGACCTTGGCCAGAGTGAGATTGGTGACGCCGCCGACAACATTGCTCAGGATACCGACGGTCGGCGTGAGGGAGTGCCTAGCAAAATCAGACGTGACATAAGGCGTTAGGATAGCTGTGGTGCCAGTCAACATGCCCTCAACGAAGTAAGTGAGCCATATCATGATGTAGGCGAAGACTAAGGCGCTAGTGGTCCATGCCACCGTCATCGCCTCGATGTTCTGCACACCAGACTGAATGTCAGAAGCCCAAACGCGGTCTTCATTTCCATCATGGTCACCGTCGACATCGTGATCGCTGAGGAGACTTGAGCTTTCGTCGCTGTCAAGGGCAGTGTAGGCCCTTGGTTGTGTGCCAACCTGAGAATTGACCGCTGGCACCATGCTCTTCTCACTCTGCGCAGCAGAGCAGGCCTCGATTTAATAAACAGCACCAGTAAGAGAGAGGTTGGCTCTAACGGGTGAGGTTGCCCGGCAAAGCTGTCAAATGTGAATCTGTGAGTGGAGAGGAGCTGGTCAGTGCCTGCGCGAGCAAGTTTATGCATGAGTGAGTGAGCGAGGGAGGAGGGGAGGGAGTCAATAGACACAATAATAGATATTGCTAACCTCTCTAAAAGTAGGATTCTCGCGGATATCTTTGTTTGACAATGCCTGTTTTTTCGCAAGTTGGAGGATGCAAAGAGCAGCTCAGCCCATGGCGTGGGGAGTCGGAATGGCGGAGTAAAAACTTGCTCACATGGGATCTTCTCGCACGAAGATAAGCACAACTTGCTCAATCGGCATGGGTCGAGTCCCTAGGCGGTATTCGGAGTTGTATCACAGCAGCCACAGGAACATTTGAGAGGAAACCGCATTATGTTCGGATGGAACGGGGTGATTTACGAAACGTGTTTGAAGACTACCTGGGAACTCGAAGCGGAAGACGATCCATAGTGGTATAGTTGTTCATGACACTTTTTCGGTATTCAAAGTATCTATTCGCTTACAAGCAGACAGAATCTCTGATGTGCTCATTTCACTTTTACTCGAATAGAATATGGATTATGTTTAACAGTCTAGTCCTTCGCCCCGTATATAAATGACCCAAGCTGTAGCTTAGCAACAGGTATCTACGAGATTCGCGTACTTTGTAAATTCCTCATCCGTTTTAAACATGTCCAACTCCTCTGGATGTGTGCCCAGAACTAGCTCAACTCCTCCGTCTTTCTTCACGGGAAAGATGACAAGAAACCTGAAGCGGCCGTTGCCACGCTCTATTTGTGGCCGCATAGACTCGGGGGAACCTTGGTTGGCGAAGAACCTGTCCCCAAAGCAAATCTCGCTCGTTGGGAACAGCATCATATTGGATATCATGGCGTGCATATGCTCGAGGCCCATATTTGCCGTCGAGAATCTGCTGTGGTCTGGGAGAGACTGCAAGAGCGTAAAGGCATCATGCACAAGAGAAGGAGTGATGCGCGCGGCGGACTGACGGAGCAGGTACGCGACCTGTCCAATACTTGTTTTGGAAGAGCAGAGTTTCTCTACGGGCATGCTGGTCCGATTGAGAATGAGGAGACTGCCCATATAAGTCGATGGCAGTAGTGAGGAGAAGTATGGGCGGCCATCGGTAGGCAGCTCAAGAATGGACATGTCCTCAGGACCAAAGGTTTGTTTGCGAATTTCCGTAGCAACGCGATATCGTGCCCTTATAGCTGCTCGCCAGAAGAAGGCTTGCAAGATATCGCTTATGGACGTGATGACCCCTTTGGCCTCGGGGTCTGCCATGACGTCCTGCTTCATTTGTTCCAGCTTGTCTGGCGTGATCGAAAACAAGGTAGTCTTCAAGCATCTTTCAGCGCGAGGAAGCGGCCATACAGAGTGCAGGGGAAATACAGGGCGAGGATTGAGTGTCCATTCGTTTGGCACGTTCTGGGGAGCTACGGGTGTGATGGCCGTCGAGTTCTTCTCAACGGCTCCTCTGGGGGACTCGTCCTCCGGGGGAAAGAATGGTAGAAATCCCCATGTGCCGGGATCAATTTCACGAAGAGGTCGAATCCAGCCTTCTTGCTCGTGAATTATCTCGGGCAAACTGTGATTGAAACTCTCTGGATCATACCAATCGCACGTTGCCGATTTGTCGCCCTGGAGATATCTGCAGTTCTCGGCCCAAGCCTTGATAGCAACCATGACGCCGATACCGTCGAGACAGCAATGGTTTAGCTCGACGGCGATGATGCAGCCCCCTGAAACGAAGTTGACCTGACCGACGAAGATGTCGGCGGGCATCTCGGGGAAGGGGTCATCTCGTAAAACAAGACTGTCCTTGAAGGCGGACGGTGCAAATCCCGCTTCTCGCAACTCTGCAAACGACGGAAGAACGCCGGAAAGATCCTTGTATCTCAGTCTATTGCGGACAGAGGCCGCCATAGATAAAGGCGAAATGGTGACGCAGAGGTCCCCCTTAGTATACCCGATTTCTTGCTCTGAGCGGTTCATCATCCTGCCGCTCAGAGCCGGGATCATATCGAACGTTCGGTTCAGACCTTCTTGCAAGTTGGTGAATACTTGCTCGTAGCTGACGCCTTCATGTAATGAAATGTAGAACACAAGGCCCATGCCGTGGTTCGGGTTGACATAGTCCAATGCGTTCAAAGGAAATGATTGTCGCGCTCTGTGCTTGGCAATCATGTTTCTCATCTTGGAGACCCCATCATCATCATCCCCGTCGACAGACTCGTTTGTTGTCTTCACTGTAGCCGCTACGCGTGCAATAGTAGCAGACAGGCTGGTGATTGTGGGATTGGCGTAAATGTGGCGAGGAGCGACCTGCTCTCCCAAGCCTGTAGCAGCCCGAATAGTTTTGATGGCTGCAAAGACGCCGAGGGAGTCCAACCCGAGATCAAATAGATTCGAATCTGACGGTACGTCCTGAATGTCAGGGATTGAGGACGTGAGAATCTCACGGAGACAATTCTGAATTGATGTAGTCGAGTTCAAGTCGACGAGGAAGTTGCCAGTAAAATCTTCATTGCGAGAACCGTAGAAGCGTTCAATATAGTCGGCGTAAAGTGCCAAGGTAGCGGTACGCTTGACAGTGCCTTTATCCGTGCGAATAAAAGGCTTGTTGGGCTCTGAAAAAGTAACAAAGTCCTTCAGCAGCTGGTTTGTGTGTCTAGAGAGGGAGTTGGCCTTCTTGACCGTCTCCCAGATGCTGTCGAGAAGCGTGTCAGGTTTCGACAAAGGGTCCTTCAACTCTATGAGGAGACCTGCCTGTGGTTTCCCGGTGCCAAAAATAAGACATCCGTTGATTGCAGGGTGAGTAGTAATAAAAGCTTCCATTTCCAAGGGGGTAATCTTGTAGCCGTTGGACAACACCACAAGGTCATCGCTTCTTCCCTTGTAAGCCCATAGATTCGGCTTGGTAGGATGTCTCGTGTACAAGTCTTTAAAGTTGATCGAGTCTTTGTCTGGGAAAGTGTGGAAGATCCCTTGAAACAGGGCCCAGTGTTGATTGCGATGCACCCAATGCTCATATTTTCCCTCCTCGACTTCTTTGAACTCAAACCCGGAGTACGGATGGAAGCAGAACCAGAGCCAATTCTCTCTCGGAGTCACGAGGTTTCCTATAAACAGACCCTCTGTTGTACCGGTCAAGTTCAACACTCTTATGACCTCGTTTACCTTGCCGGCGCTTATAGGACTGACAGGACCACCAGATGCGCAGATGAATTTAGATGGCTTCAGCTTGCTCAAAACTTCCGGAGCTTCCCCAACCTCGTCCACAAGAGACGGAACCATGCTCCAGATATCAATCTTGGCATGTTCTGCGAGGGTTTCGATAACATTGAGACTGGGTAAAACACCCGCCGGTCCCAAGACACAGTGTAACTCAAACAAGGCGGGCATAAGGATATCCATTATAATACCAGCACCCTGTAGTTTATCGGTCAGTCACCAGGCGCATATCGCTTTTGTGTTCTGGCGAAGTCGAAAGGGTATACGCACATGGCTCATAGGGAACGATGAGTAGATTGTATCGCCTGATCTCCAGTCAGATGTCCATGGCAGCAAATTGTCATCACCGTCAACGGGCGGCAGCAGTCGCACCGCATCCATGGTACCGATCAAGCCATGAGACCATGGAATAGGCTTCGGCACTCCTGTACTCCCAGAGGTATGCAGGAAGCAAAACGGCTCGTCGATGGCCTCCTCGAACGACTTGTTGTAGGGAAATGGTTCAGTTGAATCGGCATCAAGCAGCTCATCGAGTAAAGGAAGTTGCAGCACATTCATAGAACGTTGCCGCAGGATTTCCCTAGCCAGAGGTACTGGTGAAGCTCCGCCAGCGGTAGCCCAGATATTGCATTTTGTTGCCTCAAGGACTGCCAATGCTCCTTCTGTATTGTTCTTGGGTGATAGAAACAAGGCCTGTGGTTGACGGGAGTTAGCCTGGCGATGGTATGTTTGGATTCTACCTTCAATTTGATGCAAAACTTACCGCGTAGCCAACTTTGACGCAAGCATAGGTCAACAGGATATGTCTCAGGTCATCTTTGTGAGATATAGAGTCAGGCCATGGCTGCAACACAGGACCAGCATCGGGGCAATCTTGCTCAACTTACGTGGTCCGATATATCCTATAGGGAGGACAGACTCGGGCTTGCCAACACGGTTGTGAAGCCACCATGCAGTCTTGTCCACAGCCTTGGTGAATGCAAGAGCAGAAATTTGCTTGAATTCAGGTGAGCCGTGGGACAATGATGTCAACGAGAATACAGTACGCTCCGGATCGGCAACAGCCAAGCTGTCCATGATCTGAGGAATGAGCCTCTTGCCGTACGGAATCGAAGCAGATTCATTGTGGCATTCCAGCAGAAAATCACTATTCAACTCATCCTCCGCGACGGCGTCCGGACTGCAAGATGGAAGTGCGCGAGGAGGCGGCGTCTTGGGCGTAGTAGCCGCACTGCTTTCTTCGGTTGCTGGAGGTGTGAGAGAAGAACGTCCAGGCGAAGTTTTCATGGGCGTAGATGCTCCGCTGAGATATCCACTTGCGCTGAGAGGCCGGGCTTCTTGGAGATAGCTTGCTGTCGCTTCACTGATGCCAAGGGCGTCTGCCTCCCGCGGCTTCTCCTTGAAGTAACTTGGCTGACCATCCACGTATATGAGCTCCAGCCTATCATCTTTGATGAACTCACCCATGGGAGCGCTGATCCATTCCCCATCTGCTAGCTGAGCAACGCTGCAGTGCCATGGGGTCGTGAATCCAGTCTTGGTGTTGAGTAGACATATCGAAACCTTGTTACCAACCACCGACTCGTGGATTGAAAGCCGTAAATGATTGGGGTAGGCGTTCTTGACAGCACCCGCAAAGGCCTGTTGGAGAGCCCTTTAGTGATGTGCTGAAAGGGATGATATTGTGGCTTCACTTACATAACCTCGGATCAACATCTGCTTGGCAAGATACTTGCAATCCCTCCTGTAGCCATTTGCAGTTCTATCCGCTCCTCTAGGGAAGATGTATTTTAAATCAGACTCCAAGAACCTCTTGTATCCGAGGTATGTTAGCTTTGTATCGGGATTCGTAGCAATCTCATGGTCGATATCGAGGTCAGCTTTGCCGTACTTGTTAAGCAGCAAGCGGCGGAAAGTGGTGCAGTTGGCAACGTAAGTAATCTCCGTCATCTTTTGGGGCAAAGGAAAGTCAAGGAGGTCTTTCATTCTGGAAAAGCTGATGAAGTTGAACTTCTTCTGGGCCGCCAGCTTTCGTAGAGCCTCTCCATAAGCCCATGTGTCTTGGTCCGATATACACAACAAATCTAATTACGAGACATAATGTAACTGTATCAGCATTTTTTTTCTTATTCCTTGAGTTTAATTTGGGCATGTTTTGCACACTGTCAACTCACCGTTGTATGTGATGCCATCCGATATAATGGTGACTTGAGCGCCAGGCTGGTACACCTCTTGTATGCGTGTACACATGGTGTTTAACCGGCAGAGAGCTAGCTCTTCCGCCTTATCTGGCAGGTTACCAAGAACCTTGTACACCTTGTTGGCAGACTTGAATGGAAATGCGGGGAGACATGCTTCTACCCGGGTCCCTGCAGCAACGAAGTGATGTATAGCCGACAGGAACGTGTCTGCGCCCTGTTCCAGTCGCTCCTTTGAGTCGTCGAATTTGTTCAGGGCATACTCAACCATAACATCTAAGATTCGACGAGATGTATCTTCTGAATTAACGTCAGGCTTTGAAGAGTTGATGGAAGAGGAGGAGCCTTCATCGTTCCTGAAAAGGTCATCTTTCTGAAGATCATCTCTAATCCTCATCTTGACGACGGCCAAGTGAGATGTTGTATTAGAAGAATTGAGTAATGATCCGCTGCTTTGACTCAGTTTAGGTTGTATTGCCCAACATTAGTGCACGCTGATTGGCAAAGCGGTGGGTAGGCAAAGTCCTGGTCCATGCAGATGTGACAACATTCACAAGTGTGGCCAAGACAGCTAAGAGATGTGCGGCCGGACCATTAAATGGGGACTGAAACAGTAACTTTCCATATGCAAAAAGGCAAAGATGTTTTATTTCTTTTTATAAGATAGCCCATCCCAAGAGAAACCGATCAAGGAATAGTGAGAGGCCTTTAAGCGAGCCGGGCAAGCCGTGTCCGATGATTACTGACATGGCTGAGCAAAAAATTTCTTACAATGGAGCACTCACGTGTGACGCATGGGCTGTCATGGTACATGACAGTCTGACTGTGGTGAGCCTCGTTGTCAGGGGTCTGCTATATGACACATGGCGAGTTGCTTGCATTCCGTTGAGCTTGTTTGAGGCAAATGACAGTAAAGCCCGGCAGAGAGGAAGGATAAACATGCAGCCCCGGAATGTCTAAAACAAAATGAGCTTAATATCCCTCCGACAGGGCAACAAGCCATGCTTGGCATTAGTAATTTGTTGCCATTTGGCCTCAAGCCCAGTGTGAGACGGCGCTCGGGCTGAAGGTCGTTGCAAGTCGCAACGTCAAAATCTCCGGTATATCACAAACACCATTCACCATGTTTTCAAAGCTTCCGTCTGTAGCACAATGTTGAAGTTGTTTCCGACTTCTAAAATTTAGAATTCAAGCTTCTCTCGCGCGGTCACGGCCTCGCTAGACCACGATGGCGAAGATGCTACATCTAGAAAAGCTGCGCCCTTTGGGTATGTTGATACTCACCGAGTAGATGTGCGACGTAAATTCCAAACTCCCAAGTTAATGCGGCTCTTACAGGCAAACTTGAACAAGTCTCGGCATCTTGCCACCATCTGGGCTTCTTCAATAACATCGGATTCTCAGCTTACTACACTCTATCCGAGTCTATCTGTCCGGCTGGATTTGACCTGCGCCGTGTGATTTACTCGGCGGCAAGAGATGTGATCCGCAAACATGGCGTACTCTTTGCCATTCCTGTCAATGAGGACACGCCGGAAAGTTACTTCGCATCTCTCCCTTCGATTGATCTCGACCGGAGTATTTACTTCCTCCAACGCTCTCTTCCTGTGGCTGCTGGTCCAGAAGACAAAGACAAGGAGCTGGATGCCATCCTGGAGGATCAACACAATACCAACTTCAAGTCCGACTACGGCACCTTGCCTTTCTGGCGCCTGGTTATTTTGCAAACGCCCGGTGTGGACACGGAGTTCACGGCCTGCTTCATCTACCATCACGCACTTGGGGATGGAGTTTCTGGACTCGTATTCCATAACGCGTTCCGGAACGCCCTGGTGGCTGCGTGTTCCACTTCCTCATTGTACCCCGAGACTGAGTCCAGCGTCACGGCGGACGAGAAAGTCTTGGTTCTCCCACCGGTCGAAGACTTGCATCCTCAACCACTTCATCCCAACCCCCCTGGCCTTGGAAGCAAGACCCGGAAAGAGTGGACCGCCAATTCCATCCGCATGCCTTGCAAGTCTCGCTGGGCGTCGTTTTGCATCTCGCCGGGCGTGTCTCAAGCCTTCTTTCGGGAGTGCAAGGGGCAAAGCACATCAGTGACTGCCGCCCTGTCATCCATGATGGCGTCGGTTCTGTTCACGAGGCTTCCAGAGACCGAGGACACCCTCACTTGTATTATCCCCGTCAGCTTACGGCCGTGGCTGACTCTGCCTCGCGACGTTGCTAATGATGCTATCGGGACTTACTTTGACGCCACCAGGTTGTCGTTTACGCGGCCGGATCCGAGCAGTGGTAGCCATTCCGGTTCGTCAACGGACATTTGGCCAGGGGCCCGGCAGGTATCCGAAGCGTTGAAAGACTATCGCGGCAATGTATCGCCCACCGGTGAGCCCTATACCGCCATTGCCGTCCTCAAAACTATCCCAGACTTCTCCGTCATCTGCAGATCCATGCTCGGGAAGCCACGCGACGCAGCCTTCGAGGTGACCAACGTCGGGGTCTTCTCGTCTTCGACCAACCTCTCTGCTGAGGGTGCTCCTCTTTGGCAAGTAGGAAGAGTGATGCTTAGTCGAAGTGCTCTGGCTTCTGGGGCTGCAGTCACCATTAGCATTGCCACGGGTGGGAACGGCTCGATGACGGTAGGCTTTAGCTGGCAGGACGGTGTTGTTGAGGATGGTATTATGGATAGTATCCTGCAAGGAGCCGAGACGTACTTTAGCAGGTATCAATGACACGCGTCGTATAAGCACCATTTACCACATCTTCTACTAGGGGAGGCTGTACAACAAGGGGCGTCAGCTTTCTTTATTGGGCGTTAAACCACGGGATATTAGAGATTTGGCTGACGGCGCCATGACCACTTTCCCGCAATGTATCAATGCAATAGGATAGTAATGTTATGGACGCTTGCCAAGATGTGACAGGGTTGTATAAGCCCGGCGGGTTTTGTATTATTGAGGCGTCAAGGTTCCAGGGAGTCCGCTCTAGATGTCAGACGGAAATCCCGTGTGTAACGGACAAAGTCTAAATTGCTGTTAACACCCATGCTGAATATGCTGATACATAGTTCCTTGCGAGCACCAATAGGTAAGCGGTCAGTTTCGTTTAAGCACAGGACTTGGCCGCCTATAGTCTCCAAGTTGATATTCACCAACAAAGAAACAGTATCAAAGATGCCTTGCACTCCGTACGTACGTAGGTTATTGCACAGCATCTATATATACGCCAGGATAGTCCAGTATAAGTATCCACATGTTACTCAATCCCAGATACTGACGCAAAAAGGCGCATCTTACCCGGCAACCCATCTCACGCCCTCCACAATGGCGCGTTGTTAGTCAACATATTACTTTGCTGCAACCGTCCTCGGAGGCCTGGACAGCGCAGCACAACGCCCACCGACTTTCCCACCATCTATATTGCCTCAAAAATGAGCAGGAAACTATCGGAATACCCCTACGGCTATTCTCAGGCGGCGGAGCTTGATTCTAGAATCCGGATGCCACGCCCGGCCATCGACCCGGCGCTTGCGCCCATCATCGATTCATACCTGCTCCCCGAGGAACTTGATCTCGGCTTTATGCGCGGCTTGTCATCGGACGGAGCTGACCAAGCCTCGTCTTACAATTCTGATGCTATTACAGACGGGAGGCCACACCTCAAGCACGCGGAGCATCGTGTCCCCGGGCCTGATGGCAATACAGTCATCGTGTCCGCATTTGCGCCCAAGGAGCCCACGTCAGATGTGCTGCCAGGCATGTATTACATGCACGGAGGAGGCATGGTCTCCGGCGATCGCTTCGCCGGAGTCAACGAGCTGCTGCATCTCCTCGAGGGCATCGAGTGTGTCGTCCTGTCCGTCGAGTACCGCCTCGCGCCCGAGACTCGCTCCCCGGGACCAGCCGAGGATTGCTACGCCGGAATCGTGTGGGCGTCCAGCAACTCTTCGCAGCTGGGCATTGACCCAGCGGGCATAATTGTCCTGGGTGTGTCCGGGGGCGCGGCTCTGGCGGCGGCGACGTGCCTCATGGCCCGAGACAGGCAGTCTCCCGCGACACCCATCAAGGCCCAGATGCTGCTGGCCCCCATGCTGGATGACCGATGTCAGAGCGTCTCTGACCAGCTGTTCGAATACGGCAGCCCATGGTGCGGCGTCACGAATCGCATGGCGTGGGCGCACGTTCTTGGGGAAGCCCGGGGAACCGACGGCGTCTCGCCGTATCAGTCGCCGTCCCGCGCCCACAACCTGTCAAATCTCCCACAGACCTACGTGGACGTTGCGGAGTGCGAGGTATTCCGTGATGCTGCCGTGAGGTTTGCCACGGATATGTGGCGATGCGGTTCGACGTGCGAACTGCATGTCTGGCCGGGGGCCTTTCACTTGTTCGACGGGACGGATAACCCTAATGTGGCACTCATTCGCGCCGCCATCGCATCTAAGCAGGCTTGGCTGAGGAGGATTGTGCAGAAATAAGAATGTGGACCGGCCTCGAGATCGTGAGGCTGTATGTTGGATTGGATCTGGCAGTTTTGGTGTTTGTGTTGGTTGACAACATGGCACATGGAGCTTAGCCACCCTCCAATCAATACCCTTGACTTGTCGCAGCGTGAGTTGAATTGAGCTAATTATTATTCGACCGGGAGCGGCTGACAGATTGTTTCTCTTTGCCTCCAAATCAACGCCCAAAGTGCCGTTGGGGTCTGGATATAGCCAGCCATAGACGGGACCATCCTCCATGTTTCATTTAGTGTCTTCGCCCTTCAGGATACTATCAATGTTATAGAAGGTATTGCTTCCTAAAGGTGCTCGAAACCAGCATCAGTATGGGACCCCGACTTCACTTGGCAAAGACTGGCACAACGTCGTCCGGGGGGGCAATCCCTTGGGAATAGGGCCGTGACCTGATGGCGTATCAACAAACTGCAAGGCTTTGCTCGAGTTGAGCAAGATACTTGTTTAGTGCCGTTCATCCACCCTGCGTCGGTGTGGGAACGCTCGAGTTTGTTGACTTATTTGCTCAAACCTTTGCGCAGCTCGGGCCACCATCCTGATAATCACGGAAGATTGCACCCAAGGTACATAACTAAGCGCGCGTGGAACCATCATGTAGTCCTCTAGATGGTTGGATTCGAAAGTCCATCTAATCCCCATCCTTTGTCCTTGTCCGTGCCACAAGTTGTCTTGTATGCTCCCGTCGTCAAACCATGAGTGAAAGTCAACATCCGCGGCCAATGCCGGCCCACGCCGACGAGTACATGGAGAAGGACCGAGACGGAGTGGTCCACGATGTGAGCGATAACTTGTTCAACAAGTCGGAGCATAATGCGGGTGCAACATCAGACAAGGAGGCCCAGGCGGGCGTCCTGGAAGTTGAGGCCATCGCCACGGTTTGGTCCAAAACGAGCCTCATAGTCGCCTACGTACTGATTTGGATCGTCTACTTTATCATGCTGACGCAACAGGCTGCCGAGGCCGCCCTGAATCCCTTTGTGACTTCGGCTTTCCAACAGCATTCTCTCACGCCCACCGTCGGCATCCTCAGCAGCATCTTTGGAGGAGCGTGTAATCTGACGGTTGCCAAGATACTCGACGTGTTTGGGCGACCTCAGGGCTACATGACGTCTCTTGCCGTCGTCGCCATCGGCCTGGCTATGATGGCGGCAACTACAAGCGTGGAAATGTACGCCGCCGCTCAAGTTTTCTGGACCGTTGGAACTGCCGCCTTGCTCTACAGCGTCAACATCTTTGTCGCCGACACGACGGCGCTGCGCAACCGTGGGCTCATGACGGCATTGACTGCGTCGCCCAACATCGTCACCATTTGGCTGGGCGGACCGATCTCGCAAGGCTTCCTCGAGGGTCCTGGTTGGCGCTGGTGCTTCGGCGCCTTCTCCATCATTGTGCCTGTCTTGTGTCTCCCTTTGTTTGGCCTGCTGATGATGAACTACTTCAAGGCTAAGAAACAGGGCATCATCAAACCAAGATCCAGATCAAGGACGCCCTGGCAGTCATTCCTGTACTACTGCCGCGAATTCGATGCCATTGGCCTTCTGTTGATAACGGCCGGCCTGGCTCTGTTCCTTTTACCCTTCAACCTGTATACTCAACAGGCCCAGGGGTGGCGGTCGCCGCTGATTATTTGTCTGTTGGTTTTTGGTGTCGCTCTCCTTGCCTTGTTTGCCATATGGGACAAGTTTTTTGCTCCCGTCACCTTCATCCCCTACGCACTGTTGCTTGACCGCAACATGGTCGGCGCCTGCGTACTTGGCTCTGTGCTGTTTATCAGTTTCTGGTGTTGGAACAGCTTTTTCAGCTCCTACCTCCAAGTGGTCCAAAACCTCAGCGTCACCGAGGCTAGTTACGTCGTCCAAATATATGGCCTCGGTGGTAGTCTGTTTTCGATTGCCGCCGGCGTAGCCATTCGCTATACCGGCCGCTTCAAGGCAATCACGCTTTACGTCGCCATACCCATTTACACGCTGTTCATGGGGCTCATGGTCTACTTTCGGGACCCGAGTATGAGCGTAGGCTATCTCATCATGTGTCAAATATTCATCTCCTTTGCTTCGGGCGTCATCATCATCACTCCGCAGATTGCCGCCATGTCCGCCGCAGACCACCAGCACATTGCAGTTGTCATGGCTATCCTATCCATGTTCTCGTCTATTGGCGGCGCCATCGGTCTTACAGTTGCTGGTGCCATATGGCAGGCTGTTTTCCCCGTCAAGCTTGCTGAGTATTTGCCGCTGGAAGATCAGCCGAATCTTATCAACATCTATGCCGCGCTTGATGTTCAGCTCAGTTACCCGATAGGAACGCCCACTCGCACTGCTATTCAGCACGCTTACGCAGACGCCCAGTCTATGATGTTGACTGCTGGTACAGCTATCTGGGCTGTTGGCCTCGCTGCAGTTGCCGTCTGGCGAAACACCGACGTTAAAGACTTGAAGCAGGTCAAGGGACAGGTCATTTAGGCTTGAGATCTTTGCTTGTTTCCCAAAAAAAGGCCATCACGATGGGCGTGTAGCCAGTACAACTTCTGGCATCTGTACAGGTATTTACATCAGAGACGCAAACCTGTGGCAGCAGCTTGAACTTGTCACAAGCACAAGTCTTGCTCGCCACAAATAAAGCGACAAGTGTGAGTATATGTATTTATTTAGTTAATAGAGAGCATCTATAATAAATGACAATTAAGTCGGCCTATCAAGCCCTGGCTGTCTATCCGAATAGTCTAAGTCGCGAGTGCTGGTGATTTGGCGAGAGGCGATATGGGTTGCTACAAGCGAGATTCACTTGAGCACACACATATATGCATGGCCCTCTCTACTACATTGTGAATACTCATAATCACACACCCTCGAAATATACATCTGCACTGAACCCCTGACTTATCTGTACATCTCATTTGCCCAGCCGCCCAGGTGTTAACGGGTAGTTGATGTAGTGTTTTCACGGAAACTTACGTCGCAAGCTTTAGGGTAGCATGTGTACATGCAGCGAAGAACTTCCAAAGAGAAATAGAACTCGCAATACTCGATTTGGTTCGGCTGACGACTTTTTTTCCTTCGCGTTTGACAAAATAAACCTTTACGGATCAATTTCCTTTTGTAGATCATTATATTGCACACTCAAAATCGAATAGTCCCCCGAGATTATTTTCCGCATGATTTATCCGACTATAATCGAGACAACAAGGATACAAGTACATAACAGCAGTATGTAGTGAACTAAAGTCCCTCCATCCTTCACACGAGCAGGCCTGTTACGTTAGTAATAACATGTGCATCGCATTCACATTAAAGTAGGCAGCAAGCAATAAAAGAGGCTGTGCCACAACGCCGTCTTGGTGGTGTATATATATATATATATATATATGTCTATGCAACTATCGTATCGCCCCCAAAAGAATTAAACTCATTCAACATATCTGAGTCCTGACATTGAAAGAAATTCCGTTCATAATACTGCACCGTTTTACACGCGCTGCAATTCTTGATACATGGTCCCTCACTTACACGGAGCCGACAATCCCACTAACCAAGCCGGTGACACCGGTCAGGGCGCCGACCAGATCGCTGGCACCAAGAGTGTTCTCGAGATTGGCAACGGCTCCGTTGGTGGCCTGGTTGAGAAAGGCATTGACGGCGTTGATCGGGAGGCCAGACTGGACCATGGCGAGGCCCTGGCCGATGGCCTGGGCTGCAGCAGGCGTGAGGCCGCCGTGTATCAGATCCAGGAGCTTGTTGGCCAGGGGAACGCCACCGAGGGCCTGCTCGATCTGTAGTATGTATTAGACTTGATTCCTTGAGACGGGAGGTTGTATGTTATAGAAGGCACGTTGAGCTTACCTGAGCAAGCGAACCTCCGAAAACACCCTGGAGCTGGTTCTCGAGCTGACTGGCACCAGTATTGCCAGAAACGCCGCCCAGGACGCTGGTGACCTTACTAATGACGGATCTCTTGTAAGGGGCAGCGAAGGCAGTGCCGGCAAGGGCAGCAACGAGGATGGTGATGAACTTCATTTTGAAAAGATTAAGTAAGGCTTGGTTATTAGACGCAAAGGTAAGAAACGAGATGGCTTGGTTATTAGACGCAAAGGTAAGAAACGAGATGGCTTGGTTATTAGACGCAAAGGTAAGAAACGAGATGGCTTGCTTATGCGAAAGAAATGGCGTAAAGGCTATGCAAGTGAAATTGAAGGAGTGACTGGGTAAAGAGTGACTTGAGCTTGTGAAGATGCAAGAGGATGTAGTTTGTGGTTTTGAGAGGAGGGATACTAGGCACTTATACTATTGAGCCGGATAGTCCAAGTAGCCCCTATTTGGTCCGAGGCCACCGTCATCTCCTTCATGACTAGTAGATGGAGAGGAAAGTTATTAAGCTTTTCCAGCGATCGGCGGGAAATGTCTAATGGCTGCAGTAGTTACCAGGTGTGTATTGGTAACCTGGGTTGCCGCCAATCTTGGGGGTGGAAATGCTCAGACGCCTGACACGTTTGTTGGACGGCTTTGGACCAACAACGACGACGGCCCGAGTTTGAGACCCGCGTATACCCCGATGCGGCGATGTATTACAGGGGGCCGAGTTGTCGGTCAGACGAGCGTGCTGTATTGGTCTGTTGGACGATAATCTACCTGCGGGAATTTACACAGCTGTCGCTCCCAAGCGTGAGAGAGCGTCTTGCTGTTATGCAACCTTAGCTCCTAGAAGGACACGTTAGGATTCTTTGCCTATAATCAACACCACAGTGAAATATTCAGTTAAAGGACATACGAACCGGTGAAATACATGGGCAATGACGCCCGTCCTGTGGATGTTTGCTCAAGATGGTGCAAGTTCTGGGGGAGACAAACACACGACAAACATCCATGGTGAGGAACTCGGCGCCAAGTCCCCGGTTGGTCAAGAATAATTTACCATTCTGCTGGCCTCTTTGTTTAGAATATCCAGTTTAGAAAACACCAGACTTCTTGTCTCCAGATATTAGACTGTCCAAGCCCAGAATTGAGGAACCAGTCCAAACACCGCATTGGCCCTCTGATCTTGTCAACTCCCGATACCAGATAGGCCCTGGGTCTAAATAATTATGATTGGCACCTCAATGGAGCAGCGATCGCCAAGGCCCCCCGCCTTCGAGATGATGATGGGACGGTCTTGACCCGCGGTCAAGGAAGTTGACATTTAGGCTAGAAGCACCAGAGCGGTCCTAACATATACTGTGGAGAAACTTCTTTTCCGGGTTACGTGTGTTGATGGATGGCAGATTGAAGAGACATGGACGGGAGCGTGGACACGGGACATTACTGCGAATCTGTCAACATGGGACAGCCAAGACGAGACGAAAGAGACATGCGAGTGACGAAGCGCCGGGTACAACACGTGTCTGGTTGGATCTATTACAGCCCCAAATGGTCCGTAATATCGTCTCATGTAGTGCCCTGAAAGTTTCCCGTCGTGGTCGCTCAGTACCTTTTGATCTGATCCGCCCCAAGGCTCACCAAATCAAGTGCGACATTATCAGTCCCCGTCGTATGACGTTGCGGATGGGTAGCTTCACTATGTTTACATTTGGAAAATAAAGAGCCTAAGAAACTGATCCGCCTCACCGCAGGTTGTCATGACCAATTTCGAAGGGCCTAACCAACAACCATGACAAAGGGAACCGACCGTGACTGCAAGGCGCCTTTGCCATCACAACAATGGAAATGGAGAATCTCATTTTTAACCAGCTGCATACTCTTTACGCGGATTTTTTTTTTCTTCCCTGCACCGTTGGCAAATTCCTTTGTACGCCACGTCGGGGACGACGCATGGATGTGCCAAGTCAGACACATCGCCATTCAGCCTAGTATGAGTCGAACCGTTGACAATCGTCCGTCAGTTACGGCCCCTTGCGCTGTTGGGCACGGCAGCTCGGCAGATACCAAGCTTGGTGCGCATGACAGACAAAGGACGTGATTGTTGTATACTCGAAATGTAAACCAGCGACAGGCACGTTCCATCATGCCATGGAGTCATGGACCATCACGGTGTTCTGGAGCGACCTTCTTTCAGGTGAGTGTTTGATGCTGTTCTGCATCCGGACAATATTGAATGCCCATCTCCCCTGGGTGTCCGAGCTCAGCTCTGCCATTCCGATGGTCCGTTGACTCCGGATCCGCGGCGTGCATCCGAGGTCTGGTGTTTCTGCCTCCGACAATCATGTATTACAGTCGACGCAGGCATTATCCGTTCCTCTCTTTTCTCGGGCCCATGTACTCTGGTGCCGATTCCGGTTGGCGGCGACAGCATTGTTGCGCCCACCTCATTATGCATGAAAGAAAGTTCCTGTCCCACCAACTGACATGAAAGTCTAGGAAACAACATTGAAGGTTCCGTCCCAAGCTACATGGCAAAGACGGTACTCGGTAGGTCATGGCGCATCGATGCAAACAGCGAAACGGATTGTTGCCGGAGGCGCGACATGCAGTTTGAAAAAAATAGCAATGCATATCTCAACCGTGCACTGCAGCTTCACTTTGTATGACAAAGAGAACAACAGCATTACGTAGAGGATTTTTAAACCAAGCTTGATGATTGGTGACGGTGATGCATTTGCTTTTTCCTTTGTGCCAGGGCGAGACCATCACGTGGCGGTTATCGAGCTGCTGCTCATCCATATGGACCATAAACCCCAAGAATTTTTTATTTTTTTTTATTTTTTTTTTTCCGATTTCTTCAGATTCTGCTGGCTCACCTAAAGTCTCAGAATTATCCCGTGGCTTGGGGGGTTTGCGTCGTTATTTCTGGACAAATGGCGGCCGTCACTACGCTGGTTGCATTCTGGTAAGCCGAAGCTTTCATGCACCCCTCATCGAGGCATCGGGTCAACTGATGGATTCAGGCTCTGGGGATACATTGACAGCAGGATCCTGTCCAGCGCTTCCAAAAGGTACCGGCCGGTGCAGCGACAGGTCGGCAACCCGAGCTTCAATTTGGCCACGTCGGACGTCAGTGTCATTGTGCCAACCGTCAGCACCAAGACGTCGTTTCCCAGCTGCCTCCGGACATGGGTCGCCAATAAACCGCGGGAAATCATAATCATTGCCGTTGAGGGGGAGCGTGAGCACATCACGAGCCTGATTCGGGACGCAGCGCTGCCGCCGGATGCCGCAACGCAAATCAAGGTCCTGTATGCGCCGGCGGCGAGCAAGCGAGAGCAGTTCAAGCTGGGCATCGAAGCAACCAAGGGGAGCATCATCGTGAATGTGGACGACCACATCCTGTGGCCAGAGGCTTTCCTCCAAAGCGCATTGCCCTGCTTCCACGACAAGTCGGTAGGGGCGGTTGGACCACCGCTCGCGGTGCACATTCCGCAGCAACGCCGGAACAGCAGGGACGTTACTCCCTGGGAGACGGCCATGACCAGGGCTCTTTGGAGGAGGAACAGCGGCCTTGCCGCCGTTTACGCCATTGCCGGGTGGTGCTGGGTGCTGGCCGGGTCGACCGTCCTGTTCAGGGGCGAGATTCTCCGCGACGCCCGATTCTTGCACGGCCTGACCAACGACTACTGGCTCGGGCGGTTCAAGCTTGACACTGGCGACGATACCTTCTCGTCCCGGTGGCTCCAGCAGCACAACTGGAACATCGCCATCCAGTCCATGCCCGAGACGAGAGTGAGCCGAACGACGGTCAAGAGCGGACGGGCGTTTTTCGAACAGGCCTTTCGATGGGAGCGAAGCACCATTCAGTCATTCCTCCGCACCCTGCGAGACGTCCCCCAGATCTGGGAGAAACCATACGTTGCCCGCAAAACTATTGAGAGGGTTCTGCGGCCAGTTCTCACGGCGATTCATATTCTTTCGTGGATCTTTTCCTTCTCGACGTATCCCAAGCTAGCGTAAGCAGCTCTCCTCCCCCTTTTACCTTTGTAACGTGTGTGTCTCTCCCCCCTCTAAAGAGCTAATGAGTCACCCAGATCATTGATACTGGTGTATTATCTTTGGGATGCTGCCTTGAGCTACGCCGCGTTTCTCAAAGAGTATCCTTACATGTGGCGTCAGCTGGGGGCGGTGGTGCTGATGGACCATTTCTACATCATCCAAGACATCTGGAGTTGGCTGACTCTGGACAATGTAAGCCACGTCATTATCAGTATGCCCGCATCCCTGTCTAACTTTTGAAACGCGCAAGACTTCATGGCACCGGTGACGGGGCGTTGCTGAGCCCAGTGCCCCAGAGACGTCAACTCGACCTGGGCGTTTTCGCGGAATAAAGCAAAGATTCAAGCAAGATCTGATACTGGGCGGTTTTTTTTTTCCTCTTGCTTTTTTTTATTTTATTTTATTTTTTTGTTTAAAAAAAAAGGAGAACTATCGTACAATTATAGGAATACCAACTAATTTAAGTATGCGGTACATTCTGCACTCGGGTCTGGTTAAAGTGAACAAACCACCATAGCTCAGTCGGGGAAGGCACCCACCATAACTATCGTGTCTCATTGCCGCTTTGCGTCGCTCACATCAACACCAGGATACTACATCACAGCGTGGTCAATTTTGTTTTTGATCTCCCCCGCCAAGTTTCTTACATTATCCGCCCCCAACGCAGATCATGCCTCTCCGCACCTCGGCATCGCACGCCCCAGTCTGGCTGCCACGCGGCAAGTGGGCCCCAGCACACCACACCCATCCCTCGAACCCACCGCGAGTCAACGGATCGCGCCGCCCGCCGCCAGCATAAACGTGCCAGACAAGAAACAAGACTAGAGGGGCCAGAAGCCGCCCACCAAACGTCATTCATTGGCTACGCCATGCGAGGCCCGTCCCTCGGTCGGGCCAGCCAAACGGAAGGTCTAAGCGAGCAGACACGGAACCAAGCTCCATCTTCCCCGTCTTCTGTCCAACCGTGAACGCCTCAAGATTCATCCGTTCGGCGGCATTTAAAGTTACACACGGGTAGCACCAACATGCCACTCGAGAAAACGCAGTACCACCAGCGCGTGCCACTCCGGCTGGGTGCCTTGTCCCCCCCCCTTTCCTCTCCCTTCGCCTCTGGTGAAGACGTCCGTCCCATCAACTCGCCGGTGAATAGGTGTCTGTGTATTCCCCCTGGCCCGTTATTGTGTGCGACTCTTGTCCCACGAGGAATCATCAGCAGACGCCCGGTGCTTCCGCATTGCCTGCCTGTGACGCGCGTAGATTGGACAGGATGCCCATCCACCATCATCGAGGCGGGCCAGATCACAAAACATGCTCCTCCCCTCCCCCGCCTTGGGGCACGGGGGTGAGACGACAATGTCGTCGGCGTCCCGTCTTTCCCGTACCATGGACCGTTGCACCGCGTACCCGTGGCCTAGCACCCGTTCTTGTTCCTCAATCAAAACGACAGCCGTCTGTGTTACCGGGTGTCAGATGAAACGTCCCTGCGCTTGTTGATATGCCCTGGGGCTTGAGATTGTTGTTTCGTGTCCCCTGCCACGTGGCTCTGTATACGGAGTACCCAGCCCAGAATTGATGTCCTTCTTTCTTTCTTTTTCTTTCCCGTTTATTCTTTTTCACCCATCTTTTTCTTTTCTTCCAAGTCTTATAAGGAGCTAAGGGAGAACGAGAAGAAGCTAATGCACATGGATATCCGTGTAGGCGTGTGGTGAAGGCCCGATTGCTTAACAAGCATCACCAGAGTAAGTTATTCATTCACGTGGTACCCGTGCGAGTTGCTGGTTTGCTGTATTACCCGCCTTTACCATGGCTGCTGGTTGGACCATGGGATGAGACCACCTTGAACATGATATCGTTGTTTTGATGTCGTTTAAATCTAGACCCCAGCCATGTGTCCCCAAGATCAAGTGGCATCAATCCAGCCTTGGGGGCGGGCATCAGTATCGTTTGGCGATCCGCCCGGAGCCGGGAGGGCTGCCCAACTTGCATGAAACACAACCAACCCAGGTCAATAGTGGTCAAGGCAGTACAGTAGTAAAATCTTTTATTGCTGTTAATATTGACGGCCCTGAGCAAGGCTCGTCATCTGGGAGCTGTCTCCCATCTCCTCGTTCCGCTGCCACCTCATCATCGTCACTCTTCCCCCGCCTCATGGTAGTCTGAAAACATTACTCTGACATTACATGAAATCCGTCGTGGTAACGTCTAGAAATTTTGGTTCCCTTGTGGCACACGCTTTTTATGTTGAACGCCCCTTTTTTCTCCCATATACAAAATCCCACATACAGGTAATTAAAAACAAAAAGGACCCTTCCTTCGGGTTGTCCATCTAAATAATTCTTTTCGGCGCCAGTGGGTCGCTCAAGCTGTTGTTATACGATGAAAAGGAATGACTGCAGTCGGGGTATCTCTTGGTGTCGCTTCATAAAACAAAGGAAACAAGGCCGGGCTGCAATAAAAGACGCAAAAAGATTCGCTTGGTCGCAATTTCGCCTTCAACAAGGCTTGTGATGGCACCAGCTCAAATCGCAATGACGGCGGTGGCTTGACGGCATATGCAGCCATGAGGCACACTATTTGCGCAGTCCTACTCGATCTGCTAGGGTCTTCCAGAACCGACCCTTTGCATCTTCACTTCTTGCACGCACCATTACCGCATCCCGTTGCATGGGTCCAACAATGTCTTCGTCCCCGCGGCCGGGGAACTTGCCGTCCGCATCAAGTGACTTCAACATTTGCGGCACGGCGCTCGGAAGACAGTCCTCCAGACGTCTCCACTCGAGTTCGGCAACAAGATCGTCATGCGCTGGCAGTCGCGCGAGCGCCGCAGCATTGGAACTGCTAGAACGGCCACGTCCCCGGCCTCGGCTCTGGTTTCGAGACTCACTGACGGATCCAGGGGTTGAGTGACTAGTGTTTTTCACAATGTCTCCAAACGTTGTCTGCCAACGAAGTTCTACTTCGGCCCACTTTTGCTCAGTAAGATTATAGATTTTGCTTGTCTGTCCATAATTTTCACCAGTCCTGACCAAGTGCTTGGTGTAATTTATGCGAGCCAGATCCCAGTCATTCCGGAATTTGGCAATCGTTTCTGGGTTGATGGTTTCTAGCTCGTACGGTTGTGGTGAGATGGTGAAATTAGCGTGTCCAAGTTTGTCCGACCACTCATCATGCTCCTGCAAAATCGCGGGAAGCGGAAGTGGCGGCTCGGTGCTGCTCGACACATTTCGCAGAGAGGACATGGATGGGCGAGTGCTCAGCGGTGGTCGGGAGAACTGCGCTGGCGCACCAAACAAAGGCGACAGCGGAGCATCTGGGGTTGGGCTCGTTTCAACTTTGGGCGATTGCAGCGGTGACTCTCGTGGAGGCGAAGCGAGCGGGTTGATGAGGAGGGGAGGCAGGAGAGGAGTAGTAGCCATGGCACGATCGCGTTCCAGAGTAGAGTGATCTTCGGGAGTAATGTCTATGCCAAGTCCAGTTCCCGCGTCATCACTGAGGCTGTAGAGAGACATGGTTGGGTTGGACGGGACCGGTGGCACCGACTCGGCAGCACGTTCGGGTAGATAATGTGTTGACGAGGACATGGACGATGAACGGCTGCTCAACGACTCGCGAGTCAAGACGTTCTCCAGGCTTAACCCAGTGGTGGGCGACGCTCTGAGAGCTGCACGCTTACTCGACCGCCATCGCTTGAGTGTAGGCATTCGAGCGCCCAGCCGTGATGTGAAGTCGGATAAAGCAGCTTCAGTAGTACTGCGCTTTTTTCGAGGGTAGCGAGGGTCAGTGGTGAAGTCGGTGTCGCTCAAAAAGCCCATGTCATAGTCGATATCACACTCCGAGACAAAGTCAGAAGGGAAAATTGCGTCTGAGCTGTTGCGGTGGGAACAAGGTTGGTCACCTGAAGAAGAAGATAACGGTCAGTACGATTCATTGTTCCAAGTGGCCGACACGACCAGGATACAGTGATAGCACATACACAAGCAGCTATACAGGCCAAAGTGCAGGTGGTCGGAAAGAGTAGCTGTGTCCTCCCCGCGATCTAGCGGTTCCTCTTCAACATCAGGCAGCTGTCGCAAGCTAGACATGGTGCTCGAGGCCTGTGATGGTGAGGTTGGACATTCCTGCGGCAGCTGCATGGGCAGTTCCAGCGACGAGGTGGAGCTCGAGAATCTCTGGTGGCCCTTGGGCGAGAAGATGGGTGTTACGGGGGAGGTGATGTCGGATGCTGAGGAATTGGTAGTGTAGTAGACGAATGATGAATCCTGGTCGGGAGTTGCCATGGCGGACGGTCTCTTGATGTGTTGCTGCTCAGCCCGTCCAAATCGCTGTTCGACCAGCGGCGGCAGGAGCAGAGGCTTGAGTTTGGACGTCATACCTGCACAGCGTCGGGGCTGTGAGAACACAGCGGTGGCCGGCGGCTTTGCAAACTGGTCAAGTATCGTGCTGGCGGCGGTGTTGATGTGTCGTGAAGTAATACGTACAGAGTTGACGTGGAGAGGAAGCAACTCTGGGAGGGCAGGCGAGCGAAGATATGGCGCCGCGCAGCACCCTGGACATGTCCAGAAGGGACAAGTCACAGCCCGGTCCTTGGAACTCTTTGGAACCCACCGAGTTGCTGGCAATGAAGGTTCGGGCTGTTGGTTGCGGATTCTTGATCTATCCAAAAGTGACCGAACTGAGTGGCAAGCAGACAGAGGTGGGCTGTTGGCTGTTGGCGGGGGCCTTTGTTGCAAGCCTTCTGGCCAAAGATAGCCCCACTTGCAGACACTTGACTGGTGAGGTACTACTTAGTTCCTCGGGGTGGAGGCCGCTGGCTGAGGTGGGCGGGTGGCGGGTCTTTGCACAATCCTTAGCGCTTGTTCGGTCGTTGTGACGCGACTGGGTTGTGCTTGCGGAGTAGAAGACTTGTGGAAAGGGGAAAAAAAAAATTAAAAGTGGGCTCTCTTTTTTGGCCACGGCCTAAGACCAAAGCAGGCCAAAGCGTGTCTTGGAGCAACGGTAGGCTGAAGAATTTGTGACCTAGTTCCCGCACGGGGCTGGGTCTTTGTGCGGACACAATGGCAGGACAAAAGACGCCGGGGTAATAGATGTTGTGTGGGTGGAGGGATGATGGAGGTGGATGACGGTGGATGACGGTGTGGATGTTTGCGGATGGCCGTGGACGGTAGTGTGTTCAATGTTTGGAGACGGCACCAACAGCAACAGAACAAAATGCTCCAGAATGCGTCTCTCTGGGGGGGCGGGAAGCAGGCCGTTTATAACCATCAATGGCGCCGTGGACTCGCCATGAATCGAAATCCGGCGCAATCCAAGGCGAGGCGGGAAGAGCAAAACGCCCAACGCGTGCAGCAGACCGGGGGGGTTGCAGTTCCACGTGTTGGCGCAATGCCGGTTGGACCAGACGACAAGCTCTGCTCAAGGCCCAGGAGCCCAGAGCCCGTCTGTGGCGAGGCGCTGGATAATCTAGGGCACCCAGCTTCTTCTTTGCGTTTGCAAGGCCGCGTCGAGCGTGCGTGTGCGTATGCCCAATGGAGAGGCCAACCGACCAGTCGCCTACTTATCAGTGTGTCTCTGCGTCAATCCAACAGCCAGCGGGTACGTGCCTCGCTCAATTGGGCCAAACACCAAGGCGCAGTTGTGGCCTGCGGATGTGGTGATGCTGATCCGGGCACGTGAGATTTGACGCCGATGCTGGTTGCTTTTGTTTGACGTGGAGAGATGCACTTCGCCAGAGCAATCTGGTGAATCAAGAGACCAGATGATCCTTGCCTACCGAGCCTGCGTAGACGTTTGCTGTGGTGCCAGCAATCGATGTCTCACTGTGTGGCAGATGCTCGAGTATTGTAATGATAGCCTGCGCCTTGTGATCTCTTTTTGTTGTTGTTTCCTTACATTGGCGCTTAGGGAGAGAGGTGAGCGGTTGTCGATTTGGACAAGACAAATGCCAAAACAAATGCCGGCTAGGACAGACAGTATTGCAAAAAAAAAAAAAAAAAAAAAAA